ACTGTGAACACAGTAAGGCAAATGGTCAACATTTACACTTCTATAGTGGTCAGTGATTTATTACTTTTTATTATCTAAAGATATTATTGTCAGGCATTTGGGATGAATGAACATCATTAATCAAATTAGTATTATCCTTACAAGAGCTAATCTATTTTAGCAGGTTTGGGGTCAGTTATTCTACAATGGTGTTTGATTCTAATCTGTGCTGATGAATCGACAGTGGGCTGTACCCAAATGCATCAAAATGCTTTTGAATCTCTGTTGGTTGTGATCTATCTCATTGATCTAGGCATTAATCTAGACTACACTCATATGAACTTTTTGTATTGTCAACATTCACTCATGTTTGAACACAAGTGAATTTGGCAAGTATCTAATAAAACTGTACATAAAACTGTAAGTAACTTACTCTACTTTTGAAGTAAATGCTTGTGAAATGGTCCCTTTACCATTTGATATTAGCACTGGCTAGAAATAATCTCTATTTTTGAAAGCATCTATGGTTGATGCATTTATCTAATTCTATTTCTACACTATTGTTTAACTCCAAAGCTCGGTTGCAGCTTGAGCAAAGGCATATTTCTAGTTTGTGACTTCTGTCACTTTTAACATCTACTAAAACGCTACAATACTCATACTTTATCATTTTAAAAGTTTTAACAGTTGCTCAGTCTCCCAGACTAAAAAAGTCAAAGTTTTTGTCTGTCAGATGTCTGAATACTTAACATGTATATTGCATTTGGTCACAGGTTCTGGTTGTAGCAAGAGCATCAGCAATAGACGTTTTCATTGGCTGGTTCTTGTTCTGCAAATGTCTGTGTCCAATAGATCATCAGATGTCCAGAAGCTAGGGACAAACAAAAACAAAAGAAAGAATCATGAGTATCTCTCTCATTTAGCACTCATCAATGGTATGATTTCAATAATATAAACATCACTCCCCAGTTTTTCTCTCTCAGGTCCTCAGGTCCTCAGGGTCCCCTGAGGGTGAGTCTCAGTCGTCATCAGGTCAGGTCATAGAGAGATGTCATCTTGGTCATCAGTAGGGTCCAAGCCATGGTTCTGGTCTCTCCAGTTGGACATCGGATCTCCAGATACAGTCTTTTCAGTTGAAGCACATCAGGTCATTTGCGATGCACTTCTGGTCAATGGTGCAGTGTCTCAGTTCCTGTACACAGCTTGTAATGCAGTAGTTACTTTCTATGGTTAAGTCACTTTGATTCTACTTTAACACAATTTCTATTCATGCTGTTGCTTCTGTCCCTCAGACAAAAAGCAAGCGCAATGATTCAGTTTACTTCTCTAATTTGTGTTTTTATCAGATCTAATTCTAATCAATGTAATTACTTCACACAGTACAAAATCAACAAATCAAAAGTGTCAGGACAGAGGTCAATTAGTCCATGACAATATAGAATTCAAATGAACATTTCTGGTCTCAAAAAATACTGATTCAACTAAAGATTCAAGTGATAGACAATTAAAAATATTTGTTTACATTGGAGTAAACTTTTAAAATGCTTTTTTCTCTCATGTTCTACTTTTTCATGTATCTATATGTAAATGTGAATGTGTGAGTGTATGTGTGTGTATGTGTGTGTGTGTGTATGTGAATTTTGGGGTTGTCTCCAGACTCCCCGAACCACCTGTAGGTCTCAAAGGTCACACTGTGGTGATGCAAACCAACTGGACACACTTTCAACTGCCTCTAGGTCTCTACCTGACGCTCCACCCATCACGTCTCCAGATACCTCTCTTTCATGGCCCCGGTCTCACTCCCACTTACTTCTGTAGTGGGGGGAGGGGCAAGGAGGTGGCATTTCCCTTTGCTCTTTGATCTGTGACCTGTGGCTGGGTGGGCTTTGGTGTCCAGTGTCCAGCAGTGACCTCTCGTACAGTGTGGCAGAGTCTGAAAAACAATCCTTGAGACGGCCAATTTTAAAAAACAATAGATATCAGTATGCGAATGAGATTGTTTTTCTCCCTAAAGTCAAAACAATTTTGGAGCGCTCTGGGTTTTCCCACATGCGCTATGTAAATAAAGATTACTTATTATCTTACTGATGACATTTTAAAACCAGAAACTCTTAATAAAAAAAACAAGACTCAAATCTCAAAAATCTTCAAACTTTAAAATATGTATTATGTACCTTTGTACTGTGTGTATTGGAGCACATTTTAGAGCCAGTCTCCTCTGCTGTGTGCATCTGCAGCAGCAAGGTCAGGTGCATAGTCAAAACAAAAACGTCACCACTTGCAATGGGTGAATTGGGTAGTTTAACTTAATAATACTTTTACAGCCTAATTCCCTCTTTCTTTTTTAGACGAAAGTCTATAATCAATAATCACTTTTAACACAGATTCTAATTTAAATGTTTGAAAAACGGCTTTTGTAACTAAAATAAAAACATAAAAAAAATTCTCACTAACAGCTATGAAATATCAGATACAATAATGGACTCACAAAATAAGCAGCAGATTTAAAAGAATGGAATCTAGAAATATGTTAGGTCTAAAAAGAATTGCACAGCTTTTAGCACTAATATTTGGGTTTCAAAAACATACTAATTCAAAACTTATTCACTAATGGTGTTTAAAAACGTTTAACTGTGTCTAACACAATGTTCAAATGGCAAATTTTCGCAAATTTAACGGAATAACTACTATGAAAAGCCAAAAATCCTAAAGCAGTAGCTTTGATTCAGAGCCAGAGCAGCGATGGAGGGGGCCGTTTCCCTGACAACGGCAGCAGATAGAGATGTGCACACACCGGCAAAAAAGATACAGAAGAAGAACTTTCAAGATTACTTTTTGCAAAGCAAATATAACTGCTGTTGTTCTTTTAAACTTTTGTCATCCAAGTCTAGAAGTGATCACTTTCCACACTAGTAACAAAAGGCACTCTTGTCTTTAACGTTTACGCTTCTATTTTATCGAGGTAGCAAACTAATTTAAACTCAAAATCTCTTTCTAAAAAACAAAAACAACTGTTGGATACAACCCTCTCATAGCTTAACTGTAGATAAAACTCGGCAAAAAATGTAAATAACTCACGAAAGCTCTCATAGCTCAACTTTAGATAAAACTCTGCATTCTCCGGTGAACTCTGTTCACTCCAAAAACAAAAACTCCCTTTTTCTGTATGTAATTTAAACCGTGATCACTGAAATATTGTTGCTTCTTTACTTTTGTCATTTATCAAGCTTGGAATTGGTTAATTACAAAACTTTTTGTGACAAAAGGCCTCCTTAACACGTTTCCCTTTTTATTGCTTTTATGTTTACACCATGGTTTCTCTATTCTTATGGGCCTCTAACCTTCTGTGGGACTCTAACCCTTCTGTGGGACTCTAACCCTTCTGTGGGACTCTAACCCTTCTGTGGGCCTCTAACCTTCTGTGGGACTCTAACCCTTCTGTGGGACTCTAACCCTTCTGTGGGACTCTAACCCTTCTGTGGGACTACTAACCCTTCTGTGGGACTTTAACCCTTTTCCTCTGCAGGTAGCTAACTTCTCTTCAATACAATCTTATCTATAGATACAACATTTGGCAGACCCCAAAAACAGACCACAATTTAGCTTACTCAATGAGGCAGACTTTGAATTAACAGGTGTCCGCTTACCTTATTCTTGTCAAACAGGTGCGCACGGGCTGTCCAAGAGGTCTGCCAACTCTTTTCCGCGTCGGAAAATTCAATTTAAACACAAAACAGAGAAAGTGAGGGAGCAAGAGCAAGCCCATCCAAAAGCGAGCCCTTTCAGCATCCACTGGGATTTCTCCCCTTCCAGATAACGTGCTGTTGCTCCCACACGCCGAAAAAAAGAAACAGAGGAAACTCCCTCAAAACAATCCAGAGAATGGCACACACCGAGCCGCGCATTCTCCACCAAATCTGTCAGGATTAGGCAGAGAGAGACGGATCGTGGTGTGCCAAACTCTGGAAGTTTATTTAAGTTTCTCTCAAGTTCCACTGGTTTACTCTGTTTCTTTCTCTCAGACAGAATAAAGGCAGTACACAGTTTATATAGTCATTGTCACGTCACACATCGAAAGACATACGTGTCACAAAGAGACAGTCACATCATAGTCATAACATGGAGTCCTTGTAGAGTCCTTGTACAGTCCTGCACGTAGGCCATATTGCTATCTAATACTAACAGATTCATGTGGCACATGCCGGTTTGTTTACAACAGCGGCCGCCCGGCGCAGGGCCCCGTAACCGCGCGTCGCAGGATATGACGCAAATCTCAGTTGACAGAAATGTTAAAATTGAATATTTCTTATGCACATTTTTACTACATTGGAAAAGGTTAAGAATGTTGTCCCCCCTACAGAAACCACATTGAAACTAGAAATGAAATATACCCCTCCCACTCCATTTTCTGACATTTTTGAAAAGGCTCCAGGAGCCACTCAAGGGGCACTAAAGAGCCACGGGTTGCCGACCCCAACCATAGTGGCATCAGGATGGGTCAAATGCAGAGGTTGAACTGCCCTACGGGGATCAATAAAGTGTACCTTTACCTTTACATCAGGATTTCCTCTATAGAGCTGTAGGAAGTCTGCTCAACAAATTCAGGCAAGGCAAGTTTATTTATATAGCACAATTCATACACAAGGCAATTCAAAGTGCTGAACAAAATAAGAAAGCATTAAAATCATAAATAATCACAGGACATTAAAAAGAAAGATAAAAATATAAACTCCCTCAGTTGTATGCACAGCTAAACAGAACTGTCTTTAACCTGGTTTTAAACATTGTCAGAGAGGAGGCCTGTCTCACATCTTCAGGAAGACTGCTCCTCCCTTTAGTGGCAGTATGGAGATTTGCAGGCAGAAAGCATTTTTTACTCCACATACAAGTTTCACCAAACATTTTCTACTGAAATTATTCCACATTCTATATTTTGAAAAGACAATTTGTTTTTGTGTTTTCATTGTTGTGTTTGAGACTAAAATAATTAATGATTCTTGTCTCTCCCCTCTGTGTTTCAGGGCGATCAAAGCGTTCCAGGAGGTGCTCTACATCGACCCCGGTTTTTCTCGAGCCAAAGAGATTCATCTGAGACTGGGGCTCATGTGTAAAGTCAATACAGACTACGAGTCCAGTCTCAAGGTAGAGGCGCACACAGAGAGATACACACACACACACACACAGATGCACACACAGTGAGAGACGGAGAGACAGACACAAGTTCAGAACATCGAAACACTATCACCCACAAGTGTTCAAATGCTCCTATTTCACACGCCATGAACTCACATCTAATATAAAAATATATTTAACTAATATTTTTTCCGTCTCCCAGCATTTTCAGCTGGCTTTGATTGACTCCAACCCCTGCACTTTGACCAAAGCTGAAAGTAAGTTCAACGCTCCAAAAACAATTTACATTTCACATTGTCAGTTGTTTTGTGTTTCCTCTGTTTGTGTCTGGCGCCTGTGCCCTGCTGTTGATGCTGTTGTTTTTGCTGTCTTTAAAAGTCTTTGTGGCTGTTTTGGTTTTTATCTTGTAACCTTGATGGTGTCTCCCACTCGCCTTTCTCTTTGGTCCCTCTTTCTGTTTTTTTTTCCTGGAATTTTTTCTGATCCCTTTTCTTAGCTTTTTGGTCTCTCTCTTTCTGCTCTGTCTGTTTGGTTTCTCTCTTTCTCGTCCCCCTCTCTCTGTTCTTCTTCTGTCTGGTCCCTCTGTCCGGTCCCTCTCTCTGGTCCCCCTGTCCGGTCCCTCTCTCTGGTCCCCCTGTCCGGTCCCTCTCTCTGGTCCCCCTGTCCGGTCCCCTTCTCTGGGCCCTCTCTCTGGTCTCTGATATAAAATGGGCATGCTATTTGTCAGAATTCTATTAAAAAAAATCTCATTTGTTGCTTTTTTCCAATGGAACTCTTCAACATTTCACTCTGAGCAAAATGACTCAATATAAACGCACCACAATCAAACTTCGGTCCGAAATATCCACATAAACAGGATTCATACATTTGCAGCTTGTAGATTAATCTCATCCATGCACGTGCTTCCTCACCCCTCCATCTCCTCAAAGTCTTTTCCCACCTGTTACCAAGGAAACCGTCTTCATCCTCCTCTCCCATTAGCTCGTCTCCCTCTCTCGAACTCTCCACTTCCCTCGCTGCAGCAGCTCAAACAAAGAGAGGTGCGACCCGGCTCTCCTCCTTATCCAACTAACACACAGCTTTTAACAAACTTTTAAATCCACCGTGTAGATATTCATGTGTGGATTCTGGTGCTTAGAAACCCGGGAAACTCAACTTTTTCTCTTTTCTGTCTTTCAGTTCAGTTCCACATCGCGCATCTTTATGAAATCCAGGTAAGTGCTACTGCTGATGGATTACTTATAACACAAGCTTCTTCCAAGTTGGTTCCTTTTACTATCCTTATTTCCATCAATCTTGTTATATTATGTTTGCAACAATCAATTTACTTGCTATGTTTTATGATGGTAGAATAAAAGTTTTATTTTGGCTATAAAGACAAAACTCTCTGGTATTTCTCTGGTCTCTCTCTGGTCCCTCGCTCTCTAACTTATGGTCCAAATTAGCCTCAACTAGTTAAATTAACAGCCATATATCATAACCAAGAGACTGTTCATAACTATACTGTAGTACGTTTTTCATTATGTACTTTAACTAGGAACAACTGAAGTAAAGCAGATGTCTTTTTCAGAATCCATTAATATTTCTGTATAAGTAGTTTTCTTATTTGTTGTCTTTTTAAATTCTGGGAAATCCCCTTCACATTACCCATGACCAGAATGCGGTTTGTGTGGGAGGGACATTGCTGCGTCGTGATTGGTGAATTTCGGGATTCACAGGCTTTGATAGGTGGATGTGGGGGTTGCCTTGGAAACAGGAAAGTCGGTCTATGTTTTGTATTCTGCAGCCGTTTTCAAGGGGATACAGTAGTGGATCTGTAGTGCCATTAAAAACACAGCTCACCTTTACCACATTCAACTTCGTCACAGCCGTTAGCGACCTTTGACTTTCAATCATAGTCATGTTTAGTCAATTAGACTTATCGATATTGTACTGATCCACAAGATAAATTACTTGGACACAGTATCTCACTCATAACGCGTTCAAGTCGTTTTAGGGTTTTTGTATTTTTAAGGCTCATTCTAACTGAGCAAAAACCCCTTCTCTCACTCTGAGGGACACAGACTGGTGTGTGTGTACGTCTGCATCCCTACTTTTTGCCGATGAAATGTTGCCGCAATTTGTCAGCTGTAAAACCAAACTGTTTTCTGGACTCTCACTCTAGTCTATCTTGCCCTCTTTCTTTCTTTCCGCCTTTCTCTCCCTTTCGCTCTCTGATCCTGGGTACACTGTGTTGCGACATTACTTATTTAAAAAAAAAAAGTATTAAATTTGTATTATAACACATTCCCATCAAAATAATTCCCCCCGGTCAAAAGTTGACACGGGTCCAGACACCTTGCAGAGCTGCTTTAACTGGACCCAAGTTAAGAAAATCCACTAAACTGTTTCCAATGTTGTAGCAGTAACATAGGATTCTTGTATACAAGACATTGGCCTGAAGCAGTTGAGCCCTGTGTGAGTGTTAAAAGGAGGATATTGTTGCTGTTGTGTTGATTTGTTGTGTGTGTGTTCGACAGAAGAGATATCGAGCCGCGAAAGAGGCGTACGAGGCGCTGCTGCAGACGGACGACCTCCCGGCTCGAGTCAAAGCCACAACTCTGCAGCAGCTCGGTGAGAAACACACACAAAGAACACACAGAGCAACACACAAAACACTATTGCTGCTTTTATATTCAATTTAAAGTTGCACTAACTGACTTTGGGATTTTGAAGCCGCGGACTCGCTGGCCTCGCTCTTTCTGCTCCCCTCCCCACACCCACGAAGCTATCGCCCCCCCACACACACACACCCACTGTTGTTGACGGAGCTAGCTTCTCCCAATATGGATAATACATGAATATGGATTTTCACGTGGATGGCGTGACCATAGATTGATAGAACCGGGAAGCGCGGAGGAACGAGACTTTCTTTTGGATGGCTGTCTCGCTGTGTAAGCAGTAACCGGTGACGAAGACGAGAAAGTTTCAGGTTAGCTCCGCCGCTTGTTGTGCTAACTCAGCCCGTCTATGCTATTGGACCTGTAGTTTTCTCACGGAAGCGGGGGCAAGTGGTCCGCTGTGATTGGTCACAATCTGCGACCCGAAACACATTCTCTTCCTTGTTTCATCAAAACTCGATCTAAAATATAATGTCACGCCAGCACAAATCTCTGCTACTTTTTCTTCAAAAGGACGTATATCCCAATGCACTACATGGACATGGATAGTATTTTCGTAAGGAATACAAAAATAAAGTCAGTTAGTGCAGCTTTAATTCAAGATTATTATTTTTGTATTTGACACTGTAATGGGCAGTTTATGTTGAGCAAACAGCATTTAAAGAGTGACAAGGTTTTATGAATAGTTTGGGTGAGATTAACAGACTGCACCCGCTGTCACATTTGATCTCACTAGGATGATAAAGTGCACATGAAAGATAAAAGTGCATGTGACTTCCAGGCTGGATGCATCACACCTGAGCTCTCTCTCTCTCTGGTTTTTCTCTCTGGTCTCTCTTTCTGGTCTCTCTCTGGTCTCTTGTTCTGTTCTCTCTCTCTCGCTTTTCTTGCTCTCTCTCTGCTCTCTCTCTTTCTGGTCTCTCTCTGTTCTCGCTCTCTCTCTGGTCTCTCTCTCTTAAATCATTCTTATGACTTCAGGCTGGATGCATCACACGGTGGAGCAGCTCGGAGAACGTTCGACCAGAGACAGTTATGCCATTCAGTGTCTACAGAAGTCTCTGGAGGCAGACCCCAAATCAGGACAGTCCTGGTACTTCCTCGGCAGGTAGGGCTTCTCCCTTAGGGCTCTCTCCTGACACCGGGAGGATCACTGTGTGTATGATTGATGCGGCTGTGTCTTCTACAGGTGCTACTCCAGTATTGGTAAAGTCCAGGACGCTTTTGTCTCATATCGTCAGTCCATAGACAAGTCTGAAGCCAGTGCAGACACCTGGTGCTCAATCGGGTAAGAGAGGTTCTAACTGGCCTCTCTCTGGTCTCTCTCTAACTTCTTTATCTCTGGTCTCTCCCTGGTCTCTCCTTGGTCTCTTAACTGGACACAACTGAAGTGGAGCAGATAGAGGGGTTCTAACTCCATTCCCTTGGTGTTTTCTCCTCAGCGTCTTGTACCAGCAGCAGAACCAGCCCATGGACGCCCTCCAGGCCTACATCTGTGCGGTGCAGCTCGACCACAGCCACGCCGCCGCCTGGATGGACCTCGGAACCCTCTACGAGTCGTGCAACCAGCCGCACGACGCCATCAAGTGTTACATCAACGCCACCAGGAGCAAAGGCTGCAGCAACACAGCGGCTCTCACACACCGCATCAAGTGTCTGCAGGTACGAGGCGTGCAGCGGTTTGGGAAGCGTTTCACACCGAGAGAATCTGGGGTCATTGCCGTCATCTGAACCAGGGCCTCTGTGTGGAGAAGTACAACAGAGGAAACTGCACTTAACGGACACGTCTTAGAGAAGTGTTATCTCTTGGAATTTATCACAAGTTTCTTGATGAGATTCACCATTTGCAGTTTAAAAATACATTGGAATATTCATTCAAAAATACCCAGTGTGCACTTAGATCTTTTTCTGGTCTTTCTATTTTTTATCTCTTTCTCTCTGGTCTCTCTGTAGCTCAATGCTTTCTCTCTTTCTGGTCTTTCTCTCGTATCTTTTTCTCTGGTCTCTTTCTCTGATCTTCAAATATACACATGATCTTCAATGCACATGTGCACAATGATGGTCTCTCTCAATGCTTTCTCTGCTCTCTCTGGTCTCTCTCTCTGGTCTCTCTCTCTGGTCCCTCTCTGGTCTCTCTCTGGTCTCTCTCTGGTCTCTCTCTGGTCTCTAGTGCCACACTTTAGAGACAGATGTTGCAGTTCTAAAAAGTGCAGAGGATGGCAATGTTTTTGACCTAATATATTGTTTTATGTATAAAATGGAGTCGTTTGTGATGCTCTAGTTCTGTGTCCGAAGTAACAACAAACTAATACTGAATGTTGACCAAACAAAAGCTAGTTAAGTTGCATTACTCAATATATATATTATGCCATGCTAGCAACAGCACAAGAACTATTAATATGAATCAAAGCTGGACCTGTCCAGTAAATACTCTAGTTTCCAGTCGGTTGCTCTGCAGGACATTTACCGTCAAGTCCCTTTTATGCTTATTACTGTACAATCTAAGCTCAGTATTTCAGCTACTGCACTGGTCGCCTGTGTTTAAAAAGTAGCTTAAACTATTGTTGAAGATGCATTTCCTGGATTCATTCTGTGGAAAAACTTTGGGGAAAGTTGAGCTTTATAACTTTTAACTTTTGTTCTCGTCATGAATACATTCAAAACAATTGTGTCTTTATCGAAACAAGCAGATGTGGTAGGCTCCAGTTCTCCCCTGAGGTCGGAAATGTGTATAGTGTTATTTTATTGGAAAATGTAAAATAGCTGGTCTCTCTGGTTTATCTTGTCTCTCTTTTTGTTCTCTCACTCTATAGTCTCTCTCTCTCTCACTCTCACTCTCTTGTCTCTCTCACTAATCTGTCTGGACTCTCATCTGTTTTAGTTTATTTATTTATTTGATCAGGGACAATGCACTACTGACAATAGTCATGACAGAAGAGATACCATGTGCCACCCACGCCATTTCCACCTGTAGTCCCTGAACGGGTTCATGTTAGACTCAAGCAGTTAGTCAGTCAATGCATACAGGTTTGTTGTGACAATAACCAGGTCTTTGTCAGGTGGCTTGCTCTCTAGTCTCCCTCTCTTGTCTGTCTCTCAGATCTCTCCCTGTGGTATTGCCAATTTTATTTTCACATGTTCAGACCTCCTGGGACAAACTGGAGCTCGCTGTTTCATAGAAGTAAAGCTCCCTCCAATAATTTCCATTGGATGTAAACTTAGATACATCATATATGTTTGAATGAGCATAAAAGGGTCTTCATTATAATGCAATCTGAAGCGAGGCCTCTCCATTATTAGCTCTTCTCATCCTGGCTTAAAACATCTGATTCCTCACAATCAAATGCATGGTTTTAAATTCCACTCCGCTGTCCTCTCTGCATTAAGACAAGCTTTGGTTCTGTCTTAATACATTTGACTTGTTTTTTGTGGCTTTTACTTTTGCAACAACAACAAAAATCACTGCTGAGTTTATTACTACCGCTGCTGTTTTTCAACTTGCTCAAATCTACTCACCATTGCTGCTCATTTTCCTTGTTTTGGGGGTATCCAGGGCAACAGATAAAGTTACAATGGAGGAATACTGCACAAAACGGTATTCGAGTTTGGACAATTTCGTGCAAGAAAGTCACTTTTCTTACATACAGGATAATGAATGCGGCGAGTGTTTTTTTCCAACAACATCATATGACTGCTATACAACTTGTGTGATTTGTGCACCGCAGTGATTAGTTCAGAGGTCTCCCTCTGGTTTCTCTCTCTGGTTTCTCTCTCTATCTGGTCTCTCTCTTTCTGGTCTGTCTCTGCCCTAATGTATCTCTGGTCTCTCTCTAGTCTCTGTTTAGTCTCTCTCTGGTCTTCACATAGCCCTCAGTCCTGCTCCTGCCTCTCAGAGCCGTGTCCGTGTCTGCAGCTGTATTTGACAGTGTATGCACAGTTGCTGAGTTGCTTGTACTTGTGTGTGAACTGTGCTAAATTGCCTCACAAAACAAGAAAAACATTAAAATCACGCAAAAGAGTCAAAATACAATCCTAGATTTTCTCATAACGTTTTGAGTTTGTTTCTCACATTGATCACATAAGTTCTATTGTCCCAACCCTATTTGAACATGACCAGCACCTAAAACGCAACTAAACACATGACTTTCTTGCATCGGTCCAAAGTCCCGGCCCCTGCCACTGTAACACTATCCGTTGCTCCAGGGGTCTTCATTCTCTTGTTTTGATTTTATTTTTTAACTTTATTTTGTTTTTTCACGCCGTTCTCATTCCCCTTTAGGCTCAGTTGAGTTCCCCCCAGCTCAGTAACCTTCAGGCTAAAAGTAAAATGCTGCCCCTTATTGAGGAGGCTTGGAGTCTGCCCATCCCAGCAGAACTTACGTCCAGACAGGGGCCAAGCAATGCTCCTCCGCAGGTGAGCTAGCATTACAACCACTTATACTGCTATTATTATATTAATTATTATTATTATTATTATTATATACATCCCTATTTGCCCTGTTTGAATCTAAAGAAGCTGAAATAATGGCGGCTTTGCGCTCTTGGTTCAATGGTTAGCCGCTCTCGTCACTCGGATGATTTGAAAACTAGCATTTGTCAGACCTGGCATCAGAATGTACTGGGGAAACATTTCTTCTTTTTTACTATAAAAATTCTACTTCCTAAGCATTTTACCTCTCAAATAAATGCTCTAAGGGGACTTAAAGTGCACCATAGTCTCTCTTGTCGATCCATTCAAAGTTGGCTCAATGTCTTGAATCTCCTGCTGTTTTCTGCTTTTATAAAATCAAACGTTACCTAAATTTTTTGGTCTTGTTACATTCTTTACAAATGGCTTTAGATTTAGAACTGGAGTTGCCTCAAAGCTGCCAAAATCATTCTTAATTAGATCCTTAAACTTGGATTATAGCTTTGTCTGTCTATTTTAGCTGGTGAAATAGCTACTGTCGTTTCAAACACGGCTATTTTGAATGATTGTTTCACTGATAACCCTGCAAGGTAAAGAATGCCCTATTAAAACCAGATTTAAGTCTTAGCATACCTGCGTAGCTGTGTTGTTACCAAAATACAACTTCAAGTTTGTAAATGTAATGATAAAATCATTATAATATCGCTATAAGCTCAGAGACTGAATTGATGCTTTAAGAAATGTTACGAGACAGAAAACAAAAATGTGCATAAACTTGCTTTGTTTTTGTTTTTTCTCAACCCAGATCACATTCTGTCTCTTGTTTAAAAGCTAAAGCACATAGACATAGGAGTATTATGACATAATGACGCATATAAAAGTCACAAATTGTGACAAGTGTGGTAATGTTGTAGTGTCCTTTTCTTCAGGCTCCTGGTTGTTTTGCACATGTGCCCTTTGAGAACATTATTTTCATTTTGTTGCCAGATCTGACAGTGGCTCTAATGCTATTATAATTATTTATTTATTCTTTTTTTCAATGTTGCGTCTGAGGAGATTGGCTAACCATGACTGCTCCCTTTTTCCTGTTCACTGTAGTAGAAGTAGTCACTCAGCTTCACCAATCACATCCATGTCGAAGAAGAATTCATACGTGAAACGGCTGCACAATTTATGGCTAGTGTCAATGTGCTGTCTTCCAAATGGATTTTTAAAGCTGGGATATGTAGCTTTCAAACGACAACAAAAAACTCTTCATGGAGAGCAACAGCCGGAGGGGCTCAGGCCGGAGGGACTCAGGCCGTAGGGACTCAGGCCGGAGGGACTCAGGCCGGAGGGACTCAGGCCGGAGGGACTCAGGCCGGAGGGACTCAGGCCGGAGGGACTCAGGCCGGAGGGACTCAGGCCGGAGGGAAAACACTCTCTGGCCCTACACCTCTTCCCTACATAAGCTTAATCACTGTCAAACTGGCGATATGGATGTAGTTCTTTTAGCCTCATTAACACAGCCGTATATCCAGGCCGAAAAAAAAAGTTTCTTGCCCTAATCGTGCAGCTTTAACAAATTTTGCTTCCCAAAATGTAATTATATATTTTTTGTATCTGGCTCACGCACTAACACCAACAGCTTTTAACCTCCTTTTTTAAACTTTCGCTTTCCCTGGATGTTGTTGGTGAAGCTTAGTAGCTGTAGAAGCACATGTAGTCCTCCCATTGGTCTTGTCCTTTCTCCCCCCTTTGTCGCAGTGGACTTTAGATGTCCTGCAGTGGCTCACGGCACCCCCTAGTGTCATCCATACCCATCGGCAAAACCTCATGTTCGCCAACGCGCCCTGATTTGCAATGGGATTTCTCAGCCATACATTAAACATGGTTAGAAAGCAAATACATGAACAATATTTAGTGTTGTTTGGATTGGATTATCCAATGTACGGTAGTAGAATTAAAAACGGTAATGTTCTTGTTGTTATACACTTTATTTTGGCCTTTTTTTCTCCTATAGGTTGCGTTCACGTGACAATGCTTTATATGTCGATAGTTTGACATTTGGCTATGATACAAATGACAAGAATATCAGATCCCCATCCCACTAGACACATAGTCCCTGTCTCATTCTCTGAAATCATGATAGCATATAATCCAAACGGAGAGCAGAATGAGGTGGTATGGTTGTCCAGTTTGTAAAAATTTCATCCAATAAATTTATGTAAATCTGTTGGGTAAGACTACTTGCCTAACTTGAGCAAATCATTAGCTTTGCCTTTTCCTGAGTATCACATTCACAGTCCTTTCCCACTAAACTCACATAGTCCCTGTCCTTTTCTCTGAAAACACGACTTAGTCCAACGTGAAGGCGACCTATAGTTTGAATGTAAAGATGTGCTCTCTCCTGTCCCTGCTCCTCTCTGTCCCCTCGGCGTCTGTCCTCTGTCCTGTGTGTTGTATTTTACTGAATGCTCTGTTCTGGATCAGGCGTGCAAGCCCAACCACAGCGCAGAGGGAGGGGGGTCTGGTCCCACATTACCCCCGCACACCAGCCCCCTGTCCCAGGCTGACGAGTCCTGTCCCGCCAAAAGGAGGAGGGCGGGAAGTCCAGCGAAGGTACTGCTGCAAGAGTGTTTAAGCACACAGGCAGAATCTACTGTTTTTATTATAGCATTGTTCCTCCATCCACGCTAATATTAACATCCATTCTAATATTAGCATGACCCAGGGCCGAGGCAAATCAACTCTCATAATTCACGTAAATGTCTGAATGTTTTGCTGTTGTGTCGTCAGGGTGAACCTTGGGCCAGTAACCCCACACAGCAGCAAGTCCCCACCTGGTATCTGTCGCCTCAGAAGCTTCAGGTCTGGACGCTCTCTTGGTTTGTTAGGGTTTGCACAGAAACACTTGTCAGCCATTTTGACTGATTGTCTTTGATCTTCCTCCTTCAGTTGTTGGAGCAGCTGAGAGGGAACCGCTCGAGCCTCAAACCTCCGCAGCTGCAGATGTTGGAGCAGCTAGAGGCTCAGCTCAACATGATGCACCAGCACCAGGTAAATGTTCAAACATGTGACTCACAATGTGACCAGAAAAAGGCCAAAAAATGCTTAAAACTAGCCATCGAAGCAACTAATTTCTGCTCTCACTGAAATTGCGATGGCAGCCCAACTGACTTGTCTCCAATTATGGAAGTGTTAAAAAGAATTGTCCAGATAAATGGTGATTTCTATTTTTTTTTTGTAAAATCCAAGCGAGACTGCCTCAGACTACATTTGGACGCAAAACTAGCGGTAAAGTGTGTTGCTTTTGTACCATTACCTGTACAGCTTATAAGAAGTTGTTCTAATGCTAACTAATGCTCATCAGATTGCTACTTAAACTAGATTTCTCAGTGGAAGGAGAGAAGGAGGGTTTCTCAAAATGAGAAGCCTGTGAGCGGCACTTCTGAGTGTTATTATGGGATGTATGGGCAGGTCATGACCTGCCCATACATCCCATATGCGTAAATTTTTTTTACGGGATTGATGAAAACATTTAACGCATGTTAACGCAATAATTTTGGCATCCCTAATATATATACAGTACAGACCAAAAGTTTGGACATACCTTCTTATTCAAAGTTTTTTTAATGTCATGATTATGAAAATTATAGATTCACTGAAGGCATTAAAATGTATCGATTAAAACTATGACTGCGGTGGCTTGGACAATGAAGAGTATTGTCTTATTTTAAAACATTGTCTAAATGTGTGTGAGTGTGTGTCCTGATTTGTGAAGCGTCTGAGTTTTTGAAAAGCGTTATGTAAAACCGATGTATTATTATTAATATTATTAAAAGACACATATTCAAATGACAAAAACCTCCCAAGAGGAATTCTATGAGAGACAAAGTGATCTCTAAAATTGCAGCTATTAGTCTCTCACTCATCTGTCTTGTCTTCTCTCAGATTCGTCAGAACTCGTCAGGACAGATCCGACCCTCTCTCCCCAACGGCCCCTCGCCTCACCCCCTCCCCTCTCCGAACCTCCATCGCCTCCCCCAAAGACCCCTCCTCAACGGACCCCTGGGAGCCCTGCCTTCAGCCCCCAGGAGCAGCAGCAGTAGTAATAACAGTAGTAGTAATAGTAACCAGGTGGACAGGGACGTGCCTTATGTACAGACAGCGGAGACCGGAGCGCCGCTACCTCAAACCTGCACAAAACCACAGGACGCAACGCCATGCCCCTCCCACCTCCAAAACAACTCTCAGGTAACCACAGAACTGCTGTGAACAGGGGGATATTCGTGTCTTTATTTGTTAGTATTTAAACTTTTTAAACCATTCGCGGACTTTACGTCCACCATCTTGGTTTGCTTTGGCTGCCGCGAGAAGCGCATGCTCGCATTAAATCATAAACAGCTGAGGCTGTGTATGTCAACAAGGCAGTGCAAATCAACGTTTCACCGGGTCGCGGGGGCAGCAGACCCAGCAAAAAGAGATGGCCAGACTTCCCCATCCACACCCACTTCCTCCAGCTCATTTGAGGGGACCCCAAGGCGTTTTCCAGGCCAGCTGAGAGACATAGTCCCTCCAGCGTGTCCGGGGTTATCCCCGGGGCCTCCTCCCGGTGGGACGTGCTCGGAACACCTCCCCAGGGAGGCGTCCAGGAGGCATCCTGAGCAGATGCCCGAGCCAGCTCAACTGGTTCCTCTCAACGTGGAGAAGCAGCATCTCTACTTCGAGCTCCTCCCGTGTGACTGAGCTCCTCACCCTATCTCTAAGGGAGCGCCCAGCCACTCTGCGGAGGAAGCTCATTTTGAACAAAGGAAAATCAAGAGCTTTGCCTCTTAGCTTGGCTCCCTTTTCACAACAACGGTCCGATACAATGACAGCATCACTGCGCATGCACCCGGGGAGGCTCCAAGAAGGCCAAGTACTCTGCACTAATGTTTGGCTTGTAGGCTGTCACTACAGTGAGACTTGTCCCCCTCCCAGAGATGGAGGGACACGGCCCTCTCATTCACCAGAGAGAGCTCCAACACGTGGGAGCTAAGATGGGGGGCTATGAGTATGGCCACTCCAGCTCGCCGCTTCTCCCCATGGGAAACGCCAGAAAAGTGGAGAGTCCAACCCCTCTCAAGGAGTTGGGTTCCAGAGCCCAAGCTGTGTGTGGAGGTGAGGCCGACCATATCTAGTCGGTATCTCTCAACTTCCCCCACGAGCTCGGGCTCTTTCCCCGCATTGAGGTGACGTTCCACGTCCCAACAGCCAGATGCACTGTGCGTGGACTGGGCCATCGAGGACGGTCTTTGACTGCCGCCCAGTCCTCTCTGCACCTCTCTACCACGGATCCCTCTGTGGGTGGTGGGTCCACAGGATGGTCTTCCCTTTGGGCTGGGCCCGGCCAGGCCCCGTGGGCTCATGCCCAGCCACAAGATGCTCTCTTACGAGAGAGCCCCAACCCCAGGCCTGGCTCCAGGGTGGGGCCCCCGCTGCATCATACCAGGTGATGTCACGGTTGTTGTTGTCGTGTGACTCATGGTTGGCTTCCATGTAAAAGAAAAAACAATTATTTATTTTTTAAATAAGATAAACTTATTCTAATTCTTATCATATGTATACCTCAACTATGAGAGACGAAATGAGGGAAAATCGGCTCTTGGCCCAAAGCTACTTTCCACATGTGTGTCAATGCTGTGGGGTGGTTTTTTTGGACCAGTCTAGTTTAGTCGTTGTGGATTTTTTAAGGCACTCGTTAAATGAACGGGGCTCGTGCCGGCTGACACATGCACAAATGCGTTTTTTCACAGCTCCCATCGCAATTTTGAAAAGCCCCATAGATGGCAAAAGTGGTGGCACATTAGTTTGAACGTTGGAGAAAGGGGTGACTACGTCCGTTAATAGTTAGTCTATAGCCCTATTCGGACGGGATTAGTTTTACATGGGGACCCCTGGTAATTTGTGATAATCGCAGAGGACGTCTGATTTTAGTCCCGTGCTGTGAACACCTGCAGAGTCGCGGCTGCTGTCTCTGTCTATGGAGAAGTGTTGGACAATGCAATGTGTTCACTGACACTAAATGATCAGACCGATGGGTTGCGTTTGTACGTTTACTCTGCACTCTGTGGTAATACATTACAGACGTGCTGATTCAGCCATTACTGCAGCTGCTTGTTTGATTGCGCGTATGTTAGCAGAGGATGTGGGGTGTTCACGGACAGTCCTTACAAAAAGTATTGTTTAAACATTACAGAAAGTACAGGCCAGAGAACTGTAGAGCAGTAAAATCCTCATGTATGTGTTTGTCCTCATGATACCTGACTGCTGTGGTTACGTGAGATGTCAGTGAAAATTGCAGACATTGCTTATCCCTTGCGAATGCGCTATCAGATCTCAGACGTTCTCCGTGATTAACACAAATTACCAGGGGTCCCCATGTAAAACTAATCTCGTCCGAATAGGGCTTAAGGTATGAATGCATGAATTTCTGCTGCATCTGGACACATGAATTTCTCCTACGGAGATCAATAAAATAATTGTATATCTGAATATCTGTCTTTAACAAAACATCTTCAGCTATTTCTGTATCTACTCATGTTGTATTTTATTAATTTGATTAAAGTAATAACAATAATGATTGATTCAAATGTTATAGACTATACAACCATCAACTGATTCAAATTTGGTAGACTACAAAATCAACTGATTGGACAGTTTTAGACGTATTAAACATGTGTCTCTCACTCATCCAGGGGCTCCAAAAAGGCTCAGCTCCAGCCACATCAGACTCCACCACTGACCACAGCTCAGTCCCGCCCCCTTCTGCTCCCTGCCCGCCGCCGCCATCCAATCAGGTTGCACATTCCACAGACGCCTCCTCCACGTCGTCGTCATTGTCGCCGCCCTCTGCACCGAACGCCACAAACTCAAACTCCAACCACCTCCCAACTTCACCCTCTGCTACCTCCGGCTCCGCAGCTGCTGCTACCAAAGACACCGCTCCGCCCACCGCGCACCCAGCCAATCACGTGCATGCGGAGACGTCGGAGAGCGAGAAGGCCACAGCGAAACTCAGCGAAGACAATCCCCGGCTATCTGCGTTACTCGGCAACAAGGAGGAGCGCTCGGAAACCCCGGGAAACTCTCTGAAAGACAAGAAAGTGAACAATATCCACCCGGGGGTTAAACCCGCCACTCCGCAGGCGCATAGTTCCAGTGCGTCTTCCCCGGTGTCTGCCATGTCCACCGCCACGCCGTCACCCAAGTCCACGGAGCAGACGGAACAGAGTCCAGCCGCTGGGAATGCTAGCGCTCCAGCGGTCAACGGGAAAGGCGGGATTTCTGAGGATTCACAGAGTCCGTCGAAAGCAGAGCCGCCATTGGTGCTAAAGGCCCTGCGAGCGCACACGTCAAACTCGTCTGTGTCCATCTACCCCAGCTCCACAGACGTTCTCAAGGCCTGCAGGTTTGTGACATATTTAACCCCTTAATGGTTTCCACAACCATTTGGTAGGTCACCTTTTGAGTCTCTATTGAGCTGAACTGCCTGGAACTGAAATGTTCCTCATCTCACAAGGTTTTATTTGTGCATATTTACCATTAATTGCATCTCGCCCATTTGGTAAAGGTTTATTTTTATAATTGAAAATTAAACTTGGGGTTAAAAAAAATAGAATAAATCATTCGATTTGTTAGTGCTCCTACATCTTAAAAAATGAAAAAAACATGAAAGTGAAAAAACTGAAATTAGGGCTTTGCATTGTTTGGACGACAGAGTAGAATTTTCCTGAGTAGCGCTCGAAGCAACGGTCTACCCATTTGTTCTCGGCTACATGTCCGAAACACTGTCTGCATGTAAACAAAAGGCCAGTTCGATATCCAACTCTAACATTGACTGTTACAGCACCTTTATTTATATGGTGCCTTTCATAGACCAGAGACACGATGTGCTTTACAAATGTTATGGGCATTTGTATCTCACTCCACACAGAGGTGGGGTTATGGTTAGGGTTAGGGTTGTGCCTTCTGTAGGTCACCTACAGAAGGCACATGCCATACCTATTGTACATATTTTGAGTGGTTGGGAAAACCGGAGCACCCTGAGAAAACCTATGCAGGCACGGGAACTTGCACGGGCATGCAAACTCCACACAGAAAGGCCTGGAGGTGGAATTGAACCCTTCCTGCTGTTAGGCACAAGCGATACTTGTCTGGTTTAGAGATTATAAACAATATTGCTTGTCCCTCACTTGTTGTTAGGTTTTGTGTGAATTAGTTTCTGGTCATATGAGATAAAACTTTATTTTTCCCTCTGTGGAATTGTCATAGTTTCACAATTTACAGTAGAATATTATAAAGAGATTATTATACACACATTAAACACTAGTGTTTAAGATAATAGAGAATTAAATGGCAAAAACTCTGGAGAAATAAATGTGTTTATGTTCACTTTATAATCATGTTATAAACTCCTGATTTGTCTTAGAGTTAAAACATTTATGTTTGAGATCTGCAAGTGGCACTTTCTATGCTTAGTTTAGGAGATGGCGCCTCCCTGTGGAACAACCTTGTAACTACAAACACAAAGCCTATTACGTAACTTCATTCAAGGCTGCTGCTGTTGCTGTGCAGAAAGCAGCAGCACAATAGTGAAAATGTGTGGAGATGATGTAGACGTGAAATCCCACTGAAATAAGAGTTCTATTTTATTGTATTTGATTAAGGCAGTGTTTTTCAACCTTTTTTGAGCCAAGGCACACTTTTTTATAATTGAAAAAATCTCGCATCACACCACCAAGAGAAAATGTGAAAATATATACTCTGTAGCCTATATTCACAATATAAAGTAATTCTCATCAAAGTGCTTAAATCCAGGCCTTGATATTTAGCTTTGTTTAATATTTCTCAATACAATGAGTTAATAAGAGTTTGGGAATAAAGTGGCACGAACTGTGTTGAAGTAAACATAAAAAAATCCACACTCAGTCAAATAATGACTCGGAGGGCTCTTAAGTACGCAAAATAATTAAAAAATGGCCTGTTGTGTGTTCTGCTTGATCACAAAATTTTACTTTTGTGCACAAATGACATGCATTGTTAATGCATGGGGAAAATGTAGGTATCAGAGCTTTAAATTCGGGAGTTTGGTTGCGCTTCGGCAGGAGACGCGGGAAAGACACGGGGGCGGTGATCCTGAACACGAAACCAGGGTTCTGGCCGTGCGTCTATAATCCGCGCTCGGTACCATGTTATTGATGTGCGTTCGCTGAGCTGTTGTCAAAGCGGCCACAGCTGCCCCGGGGTCAGAGCGGAGGATGTCAATCCTGTTCAGAAATGGCATTTATTTATTAAACGTCTCAATCACTTTTACTTCTCACTCGCCACAATGCTCCCGCTAACTGTTACAATTGTTGGTCGCATCCAATTCTTACATTTCAAAGTAATGAGCTATCTGCTGCCATCTACTGATATGAAAAAGTATCATGTGGTTACTCCACAGTTCAAAACAAGTCTGCAATCGCCAACGGTGGATGCATTTATTTTTAGACAAAGTAAGCAAAGTTTTCACGGCACACCAGACAATATCATACAGCACACTGGTGTGCCGCGGCACTGTGGTTGAAAAACACTGGATTAAGGAGACATGAAAAATGATTGACTTATACTTTCATTTATGCTTTAAGCGCTGTTACCACCAGCCTTACTTGACTCTCCTCTACTCAGTTGGAACACTTTAGTACCAGCTCGGCCTGGATTGAACCAGGACCAAGAGGGATTAAATAAGGACCTGGTACTGACTAAACGGGACCAGTGGAAACCTCTTTTTCACCCAGTCTCAGTTACAGTACATGACTTGATGCAAAAATATTATAATTTATTGTACTCTGCGTAGACGGTATTTATCCTTTGCATCAAATTTTACAGCCAATAGATTTTTTTTTCTGTTTTCTTTAGTAATATGGATTTTTTTATTATAATGGTATATTATGTTTAACTCAACAGAAAGAGACACAACATGGGATCATCGGGGACCTCAACATGGGATCTTCAGTTTATTATAAAACACGTAATCTTTAGTGTGAAAAAGAGCCCTGTGAGTCACTGTTTGACTCTTTGGGCTAAGAGTTGAAACAGAGGACCCCTCACACCGATCACTTTTTTGTCTGAACAATCTGATCCAAAAATGTCAGAGGCCAGAAATACATGACAATTAGTGATAGAATCAGCTGTTTTAGAGGCACAGAGTTGATTATAGTTCTATTTTTGTGTCTTGAAAGTTACCCCAACTTTATTCCTGTCTTTCAATTATATGGAAAATTGATCATTTTGTTGTTGTTATCTTGTTCTATTGACATTATTATTATTATTAAACTTATTTGGCTTAAAATCCAAATCGGATTAGTACCATCAAAACCAAATCATTTGTATGAATCTTCCTGGTCTGTAATTAGTGTCCAGATCCTGAAAACAATAGATAATAATTGTGAAATTTGGTTTTATATTTGGTTTGGATGAATAATGTTCCCTTTTCTTAACACTATGATGCCGTGTCTTGTCAGAAACCTGGGTAAAAACGGTTTGTCGAACAGCAGTATCCTCCTGGACAAGTGCCCTCCTCCACGACTGCCCTCAGCTCCTGCTCCTGCTCTGCCCAAAGACAAGCTCAACCCTCCCACTCCCAGTATATATGTGAGTACTGCTTCTGATGCTACTACTGCTGCTACTACCACCTCTACTACTACTGATGCTACTACCACCTCTACTACTGCTGATGCTACTACACCTCTACTACTACTGATGCTACTACCACCTCTACTACTGCTGATGCTATGACCACCTCTACTACTGCCGATGCTATTGCTGCTGCTGCTGCTGCTGCTGCTGCTGCTGCTACTAATGCTGAGGCTACTGCTGCTACAATCTGAAGTTTCGCACTGTGGGACAAATAAAGGATCTCCAAATCTACCGCTGCTACCACTACGACCGCACTGTTGCCATGAAGGGGCTTTATAACTTTATATCTTAATCGAAATCTATCAAATTCAATATATTGATCACGAAGCAGGTTGCTGCTGCTGCTGCTTTGTGTCCTGTTTGAACCTGGTTTGTCTTGTTGCAGTTGGAAAACAAAAGGGACGCCTTCTTTCCTCCTCTGCATCAGTTCTGCACAAATGCTTCCAACCCGGTGACCGTCATCAGAGGACTCGCCGGAGCGCTGAAGCTCGGTACACACACAGCACACACACTTTGATATAAAGCTTGGGTACCTGACTTTCAGTACACAACAATGGAACTATGTGATATAATCTTTAATACTACTTCCTGGCTCAGCTCTCAGCCCAAAGGGTAAAATAGTGAAAGCCACTGGAATATTCTGTGCACAAACAATTTTTTGTGGTTTGAAAATTAGGTACCCAACACCAATGTTTTCTCCATGTTTCAACATTGTTCCTAGAATTGTGTGAAGATCCATCCAAGCTAATATCTGGAACTATGTAGCTCCGCTCTTTCTGTCTCCAAGCTCCTGTCAGTAACAGCGTGATGTCATTGGAATTCTGTGACATCACACTCAGAGCAGTTATTTGTCTTTTTTTAAACAAAAGTATTGCACAAGAATGAAATGTCAACTTTAAACATATATGCACAAATATATATTCTATGTCGTTTGAAGGCATAAGTTATATTTATACATATATTATAAACTTAAGCTAATCATTTACCTTGAATACTTCAGACATTATAAATATATTCGCTGTTTGTTGTCCAGACCTTTTTATACTAGTACCTTGTATTCCCTGTTCTGTGGTGTAGACCTGGGCCTGTTCTCCACGAAGACCCTGGTGGAGGCAAACCCGGAGCACATGGTGGAGGTGTGGACGCAGCTGTCGCAGCCGGCGGATGAGAACTGGGACCAAAGTGGAACTAAGAAGCTGTGGAAGTGTGAGAGCGGGAGGGGACACACCACCATCGCCAAGTACGCCCAGTACCAGGCCGCGTCATTCCAGGAGTCTCTGAGGGTGAGCGGGACTTTACTAATGCTACTGCAGCTACTATTATACTACCACCTCGGCTACTATTACTGTTACTATTACTGCTACTACTATTTCTAATATTACTGCTATTGCTATTTCTGCAAGTAAGTAAGTAAGTAATGTTTATTTATATACCGCCTTTCACAGACCAGAGTCACAAAGCGGTTTACAATTGTTTTTTTTTTGGGAGCGGGGTCAGCTACTATTACTAGAACTGCTGTGACTACTACTACTACTACTACAAATACTATTACTACTGCGGCAATTGATGATGATGATGATGATGATGATGATTTGATTTTTATTTCGAGCTACACAACACACAACACAGGCACAATAGCCAGAAAAAATAAAATAAAAATAATTAACATTCTAGCTCGAAAAGGAGTGGGAAGAAGACAAGCTTATTGACTCCCACCCCTGTTCGTAAAGTTAAATAATAATGTGGTTGCAACAGTAACAATGTTTAGTTCTTAGTATCTTACAAAACAATTAGGTTGGTTACATATTTACAGATTAAGTCAACATTCATAGTATGTTACACTTTATAACAAGTTTATAATTTTGTTTCCTATACCCATTTTATTACCATGTTGGTATTACTGTTATTCACCATCATCATTATCATTATCACCACAGCCCATATAACATTAGTCTATATCAAAGTGTTTGAATGATACATAATATACTCCACTTTTATTCATGAAAGGCACAATGATCGCAGACTGATTGATGCTCATGATAACAAGAGTAGTCTTAATGTGTGTTAAAAGGACTCGGGGCTTTTCTTTTTTCTTTCTTGTGTCTGGACCTGCTGCCAGAGGGGAGCAGCCCCCGAGCAACAGGACCTTCATTTATTAAGTGTCCTATACTGTGCATTAAAAGAGACAAGTTTTAGGAGTTTGCTGCCAGAAGAGGCTTTCCTCGAGCAGCCAGCCCCCACATGTCTGCCCTGTACTACGAGTTATGTTGAATGCAGAGTACGTGGATATGTGCATGTTTTAATTGTAAGACTTTAATTCCTTTATATTACCATCAGCATCAATAGCAATACCGCTGTCTGGATCGCTTAAATTTGATTCTAAAAGTAATATATAAATTGTTAGGTATTTATCCTGGGTTGTTAAAATAATGCTGATAACACAACAGCAATAGTAATAACAATGGCAATAACAATTACCCCTCCTAATCAATACAAGACACAATACATTTTAAATAGCTATGATTAATAAAAATAAAGACACGAAAAAATAAAGAAAGAAGCCAGCAAAACAAAAATACAAAACAAAAATACAGTCAAGACATACAGTATAGTTAATGTAAGATATTACTAATACAATATATTCACCTAATTATTTCTTATTTACTAAATTAACTATTATATCCTCTTACAATAATAATAACAATAATAACAATAATAATACCAGTAATGGTATTATTTTTATGTAACACCCTTTAGCAATCAAGTCCCATTTCCTCCTCCTGGTACTTTGACCATACCATTTTTTTATATCTTGATTTGAAATGATGAATATTTGGACATTGTTTGAGCTCTGCCCCCAATTTGTTCCAGAGTTTAACTCCACATACAGACACACACATACTTTTCCTAGTGGAAGACACTGCTTGAATCTTAAAGTTATCACAATTATTACTACTTATTATACTACTACGGCTACTTATTCAACACACCCCCCCATTTTAACATAAACTATTGACTAGTGCTGGGCGATGAAAGGATTACTATATATTTCAATAGCCGTGTTTAAAAGGAGCGAGGTGGAACTTTTACAGGGACAGTCATCTCAGTGTCCGTGTCTCCACTGCAGAGTAGGACCACTCGGCGACGTCATGAGTTTCGATTGCTGCATAAGCGAAACTCATTACGCCAAAGCCATTAGTTTATTTTACGGTCGTAACCGCTCCGGTTGTTGTGGTCTTTGAGTTTTCTTGGAAACGCGGCCATTAAAAAATGGGGTCGATGGAATGTTTGATAACTTCACTTAACTTTGTTTGAAAAAAAAAAAAACAGGAAGAATAGTTGAACCAGAAGAGCACAACATTCTAGGGGATGTAGTAGGGCTGGGCGATATGGCAAAAAAAAAAAATCTCCGATTTTTTCACACCAAATCCGATTTACGATTTTAATCGATTTATTTTTTTCTATTTAAAAACAAACTACAACTGACAAAGAAATAGATTTTCCTTTATGCAGTTTAATCTAAATCCCCATGGAGCATAAGTGTAACAGGAATTAAGCCTTAAAACATGCTTGTAAACGAGATGGCTCTGCCATTGTAAACAGTGAAAATGTAGCTTAACAGTTTTATAATAACTTCACTTACAATGACACTATGCACCTTCAAAATAACTTAAATCACACAAACAAGGCCCATCGCAAATATATCAATCCTATTAAACACATGCATTATTTACATGAAATATCACATTTTTAAAACTGATTACTCAAAATAGAAATGTTGTAACAGTCTTTTCCAAAAGCCTCCTCGGGTTTTCATGCTTGTTCTTTCAACTGTGCCTGAGTAACTGTGCTGTAGTACAACGCTCGGTCCAGCTGGTGGCGCTAATACTAACTTCAGTGACTCCCGCATTGTGCGAGCTTCCTGTTTACATTCTGATGCTGTAGCTAACAGCTACTGTAGCAGCTACTGTAGCTAACAGACAGCGGGGAACACGTTGTTTGTATCAGAGCAATGAGAACAATGTGTGAGACGTGTCTTTCCCCAAAGTGCAGCGGCTCAGTGGGACACGAGTGTGTGCGCGCCACGGACACGGGAGTGCGCTTTGGAATAACGAGCGTGAGAGAGCGTGAAAGATGTGGCGTACGACCGGAGCCTGTGTGTGTGTGTGTGTGTGTGTGTGTTCTGGCGATTTAAATAAAGTCTGATTCTTGAACTTTTGAAGTGTTATTGCAACAGCACCAACTGTGAGAGCGAGCATCAGGCCAGAGGGAGACTGTTAGCATTAGGTTAGCTTCAAAATGACTGCTCAACACCATAGACCCGCGGTTAGCGCGTTAGCGCTGTAGTTCTGCGCTGGAGAAAATAAAAATCGAATTTTTAAAAAAAGAAATCGCCCTAAACGTAAAACTCGAATTAATGATTAAAATCGATTAATCGCCCAGCCCTAGGATGTAGGCAAAGGCTTCTAGACCTATTACAACCAAGCATGAGCTGCAAGGCATTCTGGGAAATGCAAAAAAAAACACACAAAGCTTCAGACCGTGCATTGTTTTTCGATGTGTTTCATGCTACGTCAATGGTGATGCACATCTGTGACATAGTTTTCAGCGATAGTGCCCAGCGCTACTATTGACACGTTTTTTATTTCAAAAATGTGCATCTTGGATCTCGCACAGGACGCCCCGCCGTCTCCTCATGTTGTATGAGGAGACGGCGGCGAGTCTCCTCAAGACGTAAGGAGAGAATCCAGTCTTTTTTTTTTTTTAAATAAAGGGTTGTTTCGACTCTGATAACAAAAATAGAAATATTTATGCCTTCCTTGGTGGCCCGGTTCGAATGTCCCGCGACCCGGTATGGAGGATTATTCTTTTAGGATATTTATGGAAAACTGAACTGTTTTTCAGGAGGAGAATGAGAAGAAGGCTTTAAAGGAGACGTCGGACGCCGAGCCCGCCTCAGCAGACAGGTACCGCTCTCTGACCACGAAAGAGACGTTATTTATATTTTATCTTATACTCATGTTATTTACTTTCAGTGTTGCACGGAAAAGAAGAGGTCCATTAAAATACATCAAGTTTGGAACCAACATCGACGTTTCGGACGAGAAGAAGTGAGTGTCCAACTCACTGTCATAATAATTCTAATATAAAACAATATTATTACAAAACCTGTCCAGAAATGTGCAATATTGTCCGGTTATCAAGTTATCAAGTAACATGAGTAGTTTTTTTCCTACAAAAAGTCTTATAAAAGAAATATGTTGTGAACAAATCCGACACAAGAAAGCCCTGAGAATCTTTGGGCTTTGGTCTCTCTCTATCTGGTGTGTCCCTCTCTGGTGTGCGTCCCTCTCTGGTGTGTGTTTTTCTCTGGCCTGTCTGGTCTTTCTACCTACATGAAAAGTTGTGATAGAAGTAAACGGATTTGGAGCCATGGACTCCAATGACATTGTAGTTTGAAAGTTGCGTAGCCCATCTTTAACCAGGCCTAAACCACTTCTGACCCCTGGTGTGTGTCGCCCCCTGCAGGTGGAAGCAGCAGCTGCAGGAGCTGAGTAAACTTCCGGCCTTTGCACGAGTTGTGTCGGCGGGGAACCTGCTGAGCCACGTGGGACACACCATCCTGGGAATGAACACTGTCCAGCTCTACATGAAGGTCCCAGGGAGCAGGATACCAGGTGGGCACCAGGTCGGAACCAGGTCTGAACCAGGAAAAAGTCAAATAACCAGAGAGAACGCCATTTAGAACTAGATATAATCTAGTTACTCTGTGTGTACTATTTGAACAAGCCAGTATCCAGGGTAATTCCTTGGTAACAATGGCTTCAAGTAGCACTCCGGGCCTATCACTGTCAGTTAGACCACTTTAGTACCAGCCTGGCATAGATAGAACTAGGACGTAGGACTACAGACGGACCTGGTACTGGTTAAAGGTTCCATATTGCGCTTCTGTTCATGTTTCACAGTCCATCCTATGCACATGTGTGATAATAATTTGAGGGATACACCATACAACACTCAAAACTTGTGAGATTATAGCCATCGCTTGCATATGGGTGATGTCACCTCAACTCAAACAGGCTGATCCAGAGAGGAGTCTGCTCCTCTCCTCCCCCGCCCGCATGGTGACGTAGCCTCACCCAGCTGGGCTCGGGAGCTGGGCTCGGGAGCTGGGCTCGGGAGCTGGGCTCGGGAGCTGGGCTCGGGAGCTGGGCTCGGGAGCTGGGCTCGGGAGCTGGGCTCGGGAGCTGGGCTCGGGAGCTGGGCTCGGGAGCTGGGCTCGGGAGCTGGGCTGTTTCGATTTGTCAATCACCTCTTGGATTTTAGTATTTTTTTCCCTGTTTTGACCACAGTTTTTAAAGCCACCCTGTGTAATTTATTTTTTTCTGAGTATTTACCTCCATCATGTTTTTTTGTTTGTTTTCATAGGCTTAGAATTTCACTTATAAATGTCCATTAGAGATGAGTGCTCTCGGTGTCAATTCGTCATCTTGAAAAGCAGTGGTGGATAAGGGACAAAAAAGATTAGAGACTCACGTTTTCGTTTCACATGAGCCACTGATATTGTTGCTTTCACCGTGCCTTCACAAGTTTGAAGAAGGAACCATGGAGGACCACAGTTATGTAAAGGATCTTTTCGAAAAATACTTATGCAAATGTCCAATGTCATACAGGAAAGTGTCAACATTGCAAACCACACGCACAGAAAGACAGCAGGAGGCATGGTGTGTAGTTTGTACACAACAGACTCACACATGAACAATAGTAACTTTTCACACTGACGGTAATGAGAACGAGTCAGAATCTGCAACACAGTCTCAGGATGTTCTGACCCGATCCAAGGCCAACTACTGTCACAAGTTTCAACTAAATTTATTCAGGGACAAAGCCTCAAATAAAACACACAGAATCCCCACAAAACAATAGCCAGAATACTTCATCAGCAGCGTGAGTGAATGTTCTGTTTTTCTTACCGTGATGCAGATAGGGCGCTGTGGCTAACGCTAAAGCTAACCTGAGCTTTTAGCCATGTCCTGCTTCTTTGATCATAGTAGTTTTAAGCTCCCGCAGACGTTATTCCTCCATGCGTCTCTTCTCTTCAATCCATGTTTGTAAAACTATATTATGATAGATCCATAGTAAAACTCAGTAGATCCTCTGTGCAGGGTGCCGCGTCTGAACTCAGTCTACAACTCTTATTTGTTGTTTTCAAATTGACAATGAGACGACTGCTGGTGTGATTCAGGAATTTACTCAAATACATTGAATTGGATTGAAATGATATGTTTGACAGTGTGCCAGAACTTTCTCTCTCCTCTCTTGAATCGCTGTCTCACACCTGCTTCTTTCTGGTTCCTTCAGGACACCAGGAGCACAACAACTTCTGCGCCGTCAATATCAACATCGGTCCTGGAGACTGTGAGTGGTTCGCCGTGCCGGAGCCGTACTGGGGCGTCATGAGCAACTTCTGTGAAAAGTAAACACACTTTTTATTATGGTTTTTACATTCAATTAACACTGGGGTGAGTAACTTTCTTACCAAAACCATAGATCTCTAGTTTCTGGCTCTAAACACTAGTTTTGTGTATTTCAGACTTCCGTCACATGGTTAGATCAGATTTTTCACACCGAAAAAATACAGGACCACCCTCAGCCCAAAGAGTCAAATAGTGACTCAAGTTTGCAAATAACAGTAAACTTCTTGTGAACAATGTTAATTGTTCACATTTTACTTTTATATGATTTATTTCTGTTTGGAAAGGATTACTTTCCAAACATAGTAGTTATAGTATTTGCATTAGTACCAGTAGTAGTACTTGCCGTAGTAGCAGTATATACTCGGTCTCAGTTTTTGCTAGCCTGAAATTGCTCAGTAGATAATGAGCTGAATCTTGTATGTATTTCCTTTTTGTTTTAATGCAACTTCAATTCAATCATTTTGACCTAGATCAAGCAGTGAATCCAAAAAGAACACAGACATTACATACAGTGCATCCGGAAAATATTCACAGCGCTTCACTTTTTCCACATTTTGTTATGTTACAGCCTTATTCCAAAATGGATTCAATTCATTTTTTTCCTCACAATTCTACACATAACACCCCATAAAGACAAAATGAAAAGTTTTTTTGAGATTCTAGCAAATTTATTGCAAATAAAAAAACGAAGAAATCACATGTACGTATTCACCGAATTTGCCATGAAGCTCAAAATTGAGCTCGGGTGCATCCTGTTTGCACGGATCATCCTTGAGATGCTTCTACTGCTTCATTGGAGTCCACCTGTGGTAAATTCAGATTGGACTTGATTTGGAAAGGCACACACCTGTGTATATATATAAGGTCCCACAGTTGACAGTGCATGTCAGAGCACAAACCAAGCATGAAGTCAAAGGATTTGTCTGTAGACCTCCGAAACAGGATTATCTCGAGGCACAAGTCTGGGGAAGGGTACAGAAAAATGTACCCTTCCCCAGACTTCAATCCAATTGAACATCTCTGGAGGGATCTGAAAATGGCTGTACACCGACACTCCCCATCCAACTTGATGGAGCTTGAGAGGTGCTGCAAAGAGGAATGGGCAAAACTGCCCAAAGACAGGTGTGCCAAGCTTGTGGCATCATTTTCAAAAAGACTTGAGGCAGTAATTGCTGCCAAAGGGGCATCAACAAAGTATTAAGCAAATTCTGTGAATACTTATGTTCATGTGGTTTCTTAGTTTTTTTATTTGTAATAAATTTGCAAGAATCTCAAAAAAAACTGTTTCATGTTGTCATTATGGGGTGTTGTGTTTAGAATTGTGAGGCAAAAAAATGAATAGATTTTGGAATAAGGCTGTAACATAACAAAATGTGGAAAAAGTGAAGCGCTGTGAAAACTTTCCGGATGCACTGTATATGTCGGTCTCATCATGGTCTGTGTTCTAACTTTCTCTCGTGTTCAGAAACAACATAAACTTCCTGATGGGTTCGTGGTGGCCAAACCTGGAGGACCTGTACGAGGCGGACGTCCCTGTGTATCGCTTCATCCAGAGACCTGGGGACCTGGTCTGGCTCAACACCGGCACCGTGCACTGGGTCCAGGCCATCGGCTGGTGCAATAACATCGCCTGGAACGTCGGCCCTCTGACGGGTGAGAGGGGGGAGGCCTCATAAAGGTTGAGGGGAGAGAAGAGGTTCTGGAGGAGTTCAGACGCAGACGGGGGAGAGGGCTGAGACATGGTTCAGGAAGGGTTTCAGAGGCAGAGGGGTGAGGCGGGTGAGTCATGCTTAACCCATTTACCCCTGACACACTTCTAAAGTCATCTTCTAAAACCTGAAATTTTCCTGAAATTCAACATCTACAAAATGATTGATATTTCAGCCTCTGCAGCAGATGGAAATACATTTACAAACGAATTTGAGAGCTGACATTTGCGGCTTTAATAAGGTTTTATTATATACCGTGCCTTGCGAAAGTATTCAGCCCCCTTGAACCTTTCAACATTTCGCTACATTTCAGGCTTCAAACATAAAGATATCAAATTAATTTTTTTTGTCTTGAATCAACAAGTGGGACACAATCGTGAAGTGGAACGAACTTTATTGGATAATTTAAACTAAAAAGTGCGGCGTGCAATATTATTCGGCCCCTTTACTTTCAGTGCAGCAAACTCAGTCCAGAAGTTCAGTGAGAATGATCCATCCATCCATCCATCCATTTTCTACCCTTTAATCCATTTCTGGGTCAGGGGGGTGGCAATCAGAGATGCCACCGAAGTCTCATAGCACCAGCCCCTCACTGACCCTCTGCAGGTGGTGAGTCCACAGGAGGACGGCTGCTCTCTGAGTGTGAGCCTTGATATGATCCAATGTTGTCCTAAATGACTGATGATGATAAATAGAATGCACCTGTGTGTAATCAAGTCTCCGTATAAACGCACCTGCTCTTTGATAGTCTCAGGGTTCTGTTTAAAGCGCAGAGAGAACCATGAAGACAAAAGAACACACCAGGCAGGTCCGAGATACTGTTGTGGAGAAGTTTAAAGCCGGATTTGGATACAAAAAGATTTCCCAAGCTTTAAACATCTCAAGGAGCACTGTGCAAGCAATTCTATTGAAATGGAAGGAGTATCAGACCACTGCAAATCTACCAAGACCCGGCCGTCCCTCCAAACTTTCATCTCAAACAAGGAGAAGACTGATCAGAGATGCAGTCAAGAGGCCCATGATCACTCTGGATGAACTGCAGATAACTACAGCTGAGGTGGGAGAGACTGTCCATAGGACAACAATCAGTCGTGCACTGCACAAATCTGGCCTTTATGGAAGAGTGGCAAGAAGAAAGCCCTTTCTCAAAGATATCCATAAAAAGTCTTGTTTAAAGTTTGCCACAAGCCACCTGGGAGACACACCAAACATGTGGAAGAAGGTGCTCTGGTCAGATGAAACCAAAATCGAACTTTTTGGCCACAATGCAAAACGATATGTTTGGCGTAAAAGCAACACAGCTCATCACCCTGAACACACCATCCCCACTGTCAAACATGGTGGTGGCATCATGGTTTGGGCCTGCTTTTCTTCAGCAGGGACAGGGAAGATGGCTAAAATTGATGGGAAGATGGATGGAGCCAAATACAGGACCATTCTGGAAGAAAACCTGTTGGAGTCTGCAAAAGACCTGAGACTGGGACGGAGATTTATCTTCCAACAGGACAATGATCCAAAACATAAAGCCAAATCTACAATGGAATGGTTCACAAATAGACGTGTCCAGGTGTTAGAATGGCCAAGTCAAAGTCCAGACCTGAATCCAATCGAGAATCTGTGGAAAGAGCTGAAGACTGCTGTTCACAAACGCTCTCCATCCAACCTCACTGAGCTCCAGCTGTTTTGCAAGGAAGAATGGGCAAGAATTCCAGTCTCTCAATGTGAAAAACTGAGACATACCCCAAGCGACTTGCAGCTGTAATTACAGCAAAAGGTGGCGCTACAAAGTATTAGCGCAAGGGGGCCGAATAATATTGCACGCCCCACTTTTCAGTTTTTTATTTGTTAAAGTTTAAATTATCCAATAAATTTCGTTGCACTTCACGATTGTGTCCCACTTGTTGATTCTTGACAAACATTTTAATATTTATATCTTTGTTTGAAGCCTGAAATGTGGCGAAATGTTGAAAGGTTCAAGGGGGGCGAATACTTTCGCAAGGCACTGTACCTTCAGTAGAATAATACATAAAAAATACAACTTCCAACACAGGAAAGACTGAAAAACAACCAAAAATGATTTGAGAATAACACATGTTTCTCAATACAATAAGTCAAAAAGAATTTGGCAATAAAGGCACTAACTGCATAACTGTATAAAAATGTTGGTACCTGAGTTTTCTTCCGGGAAAAAGTCAGAATTTGCAGGTCCACAGAAGATTGTCATACGTGGTTTATCCTGATGCATTTCATTTGGTCAAGAGCATTGACCAAAGAGGAGAATTGGTCAAAAAAGGTTAAAAGACGTGTCCGCTTTCCCGGCCTCAAAGGTAGAAGTGCTGGAATGCTTTCCCAGCGTCAATGGGTTAAGGATATCAAAGTCCAGAATGATAAATAAAGCAGGGGTTTCTGACAGGATTGTTGTAAATGTAATTATGGTTTTATGTTAGTATTTTTAAAAGAGATTTGTTGTTGTTTTTTTTTCAAATGTATTATCTGGTTAAACAAATAATCACATTTTTGTCCATCCCTTTTTCATCCAGAAAGAAACTGTTTTGAATAGTTCAAACAAAAATTGAATCAGATTGAAGGATCTCTGTATCTAGAAACTATTAGACCTATTAGTGGAGACTTTAGCGGAGGCTGGAGATACTTCTAGGCTTGTTCTCCGCAAATCTAACTGTCAAACCGAACCTCCCAATGACGGCTCTGACTCTGAGAAACACTGTTCCCACTGACTCCGTGCAAAGTTTCTAAAGTTAGTGTTTGGTACAACGCTCGCACAGCCTCGCAGCTGCACTTGCTTTGCTATGATTTCTGCACTGGTTCAACGCAGTCTTGCTAGACTATTTTTGTATGGGAGCATGACGTGATTTGGGACCAGGAGGTAGTCTGACATGTCTGCCACTAGTGGCAGGGAGTATGAATGAATTTTGTCTGTTTGACACACTCGGCCGTTTTAAACCGTACCGCGGCTTGTCGACTTAAGTCGACCGTGGCGCCTAGAGGGTTAATAACGAAAAGCAATCTGTGGCGGTCGGTCTCAAATCTGTGGCGCATCGGTGGGAAACACTGGGGCTTTTTCCTACACCAAAGATCTCATGTTTATAAGATAAAGATTTGTTCACAAACTACACGTGTTGAGTTAAAAAGTTATGTCCCCCAGCTTCAAATGTAGCGGAAGTGGGACAGGATAAGTAAAGAAGTAAACCATTGTGTTACTGTCGTGTGGCGGTGGCTTCCTGTTGTCTGTTAAAGTGACCTTTTCTTTAGTGATTTCTAACATGCAGCTGATTACTGACATTTAAGATGATTGTTTTTTCAGGTGTAAAAACCCAAATAAGCTCTTAAACCAAACACATGGCAAATTAAGAGATTTTTCTACATTACAATCTTACTGTATCTAAATTATGGTCTCTCTTTGGTCGCGCTAGAGTTTCTCACTCGTCTCTCTCTCTCTGTCTGATCGCTCTCTGGTTTCTCTCTATTGCTTCTCTCTCTGGGTCTCTTGCCTATTGCCACTTTCGCTCTGCTCTGTCTCTAGTCTCTCTGGTCTCCCTCTCTTGCTTCTCATTTTCTGGCCTCCCTTACCTTTCTCTCTGGCCTCTTTCTTTCCTCCCTCTCTGATCTTGTTCTATTGCCTCTCTGTCTCTTGCCTCTTTCTTTCCCCTCTATTGCCTCTAGCCTCTCTCTCTTGCTTCTCTCTGATGCAAAACAACTTCATAAAATCTCTAAAATCTCCCTGTAACTGTCTCTTGCAGCGCACCAGTACAAGTTGGCGGTGGAGCGATACGAGTGGAACAAGCTGCAGTCGGTGAAGTCGATGGTTCCCATGGTGCACCTCTCCTGGAACATGGCCAGAAACATCAAGGTGTCTGACCACAAGCTCTTTGAGATGATCAAGTGAGTATCCGGTCCGCACTGGGATTATATAAGCGGAAAAAGACACAAGAATTTGGCAACTTGTCATTTAACCCGCCTTGCGACAGTCTAGATGGACCAAAAAAAAAAAAAACACAGAATTTTGCCTAAGAGCCAGGCTCACTTCTTCCACCCATACTGTCTTTCTTGGGTTTAGCTCCATCCACGCTATTATCAGACACTTCTGCCTCCAATGCATCTCCCTCCCCTTCTGAGCACTTCTCCCAAATGCTCTGATTTCAAACTCTGTTCAAACGCTTTTTTAATGAATGTATTTCCTCAACATAGGATTGTTTGTTTCTGTGGGGGCCTCCCATAATCTCACCAGTACATGGGAGTTTTTCTCACATCCTCCCTCTGGTGGTGGCACAGGGGCTTACAGGCCAAAAGCTGTTTTTTTCCTCTTCAGACTTGTTTCTGGACATATTTTCTTTGTGCATCCTGCCCATCTCTTATTCCAACAAACATGTTTGTCCTTCTGTCTCCGTCCTGCAGGTATTGCTTGTTGCGGACGCTGAAGCAGTGTCAGTGGGTGAAGGAGGCTTTGGCAACGACAGGGAAAGAGACCGTGCTCCGACCGCGATCCAGAGACGAGACGGCGCACTACTGCTCCATCTGCGAGGTCAGACACTGTCTGCAACAAATGTGTAGCTCCGCCCCCTTCTGTCTCAAAGCTCCTCATTGCACTACTATGGCACCTCTATGACATCACACTCAGAAGTTGTTTGTTTTTAAAGACAGAAATTAGTTTTTCCAGGTGAAATGACGTCCTTTACCTCTCCTCTCTGTCTGATCTCTCTATCGCTCCTCCCTCTGGTGGTGGTAGAGGACGTTACAGGCCAAAAGCCATTTTAACTATACATTTTCTACTGAAGTCAATATTTCCAAAAATAAAGTATAATATGTAAGGTTCTGGTAAATATTAATAGTAATATTCATAATCATTTTTAACAATACTGAATGCTGAGTTTACCTGGAGAAGTGAGTTTCTGACCAGTCATATTCTTTCCATTCTTTCTGGTTATGTTTCTTAAGGTTAACATTGCAGCCCTCTTTCTCTCCAGGTGGAGGTGTTTAACCTGCTGTTTGTCCGGCGGGAGCTGCTCTCAAAGGCGCCCTCTGTGGTCCACTGTCAGGACTGCGCCCGGAAAGGCAGCTCTGCTCTGGACGACTTTGTGGTTCTGGAGCAGTACAGGATGGACGACCTCATGCACATCTACGACCACTTCACACTAGTACGGATCCTCATGAGACACTGACACTAGAACAGTCCCCAGTTAGGACTCTATTCAAACTCTGGTCTCTCTCTGGTCTCTCTTGCCTCACTCTCCCACTCTGGTCTCTCCGTTCTTTCTTCTCTCTCTCTGCCCTCTCTCTCTGCTTTCTTTGCTCTCTCTCTGGTCTCTATCTGTTCCCTCCACAGTAGAAACCCTTCCAATGGCAGTATTGTGGACCTGAACCTTTCTCTGTGTCTCTGTCTCAGCAGGTCGCTCCTCTTCACTCGTCCTCGTCTTGACATTAGTCCAACGCTTGGTCCCCCTCGCTCCGGATCCATCTTCCAAACCCACGCCACAACCACCCGGATCTCTTCTCCTTCCACCTCCTCCTCGCGCTACTATTCAGGAATCCCCACTCTCTCTCTCTCCATCCACCCGTTGTCTGTCTATGCAACCGATCGGGCTGTTCAAATCGTGACGTCATCTCGCACTTCCGAGCTCAAAAGCAGCTCACTTTTTTGCCTCATTTTGATAAAACGCAACAAAAATCTCTATAAACGAGAGTTGGATAATAGTAGTTTTGGATGTATTTTTGGTAAGCACCTATTATTCAATCGTGCGCACTCGCAAATACGGATGTTTGTCGATAAGGGACAGCGGTGGACTTTCTACTCTTTCTTTGGATGTGTTTTTGTAGACTTCCGTTGTCAAAAATACACACACACACATACACACAGGTGATTCTAGATCTCATGCACATCTACGACCACTTCACACTGCTATGATCTTAAGAAACTAATCCAGGCTCTAGTTATAAAAGTATATTCAAATTCTGGCCGCTCTCTGGTCTCTGATTTGTCTCCCTGGTCTCTCTCTCTCTTTGGTCTCTCTCTCCGCTCTTTCTCTCTGATCTCTCCCTGGTCTCTTTCTCTCTCTCTGATCTCTCTCCCTTTTCTCTCTCTCTAATCTCTCCCTGGTCTCTTTCTCTCTCTCTAATCTCTCCCTGGTCTCTTTCTCTATGTCTCTCTCCCTCTGATCTCCCTCCGATCTCTCTCCCTGGTCTCCCTCTCTTCGGTCTCTCTGTTCTCTCTCTCTCTCTCTGCTCTTTCTCTTTGGTCTCATGTTTTGTAGTTTTCAGTTGTCTCACACGCACACACATGATTAAGAGCCATCCATGCATGTTCCAGTCATATAAAATCTCTCTAACACAAGTTTCCGTTCTCTATCATCAATATTCAGATTTGTAACCAACTTGAAACGTATGACTTTGTTGAGCGCTAGCTTTAGCTTGGACCTGGAAGTGCCGGACGTCATCGCTTAACAGCCCCTTATCCTTCTCCTTTTTGATAGCCCTATTATAAAGTGCTTAGAACCTTTTTTGGAACAATTTATTGGGGGATTTTTTTCCGGAATGGACTTCAAAGGAAACCCAAAAAGACTCTTGGAAGCGGACGATTTGATACGATTTGTAGATACATCTCCAAGACTACTGACTTCTGATTTCTTTCCTTTTGTTTTGATGCGATTTTTGGTTCCTAATACTACTACTACTACTAGCCTCCCTTTTCTATAGAGCAGTATTTTACCACGCTGCAAAAAAACACAAAAATAAATAAAAAATGTAATGTGAATTTTTCTTTTTTTAATGCTCCCCCTTTTTTATTTGTTTTTTTTTTTTTTACAAGTTTCCGTTCTGTCTTATTTTCTCAATTCTTAGCTTATTAATAAAAAAATAAAAACGACAAAAAAAACTATGGCCAAGTCACCAGAACATGGGTTGCACATAGAATTCAAACAGAATAATTGTTGTTTTTTTTGCATTGTTTCTAATCTCGATGTAAATTTTCACTATTTATAAAAAACATATTTATTGCTTGAGAATATTTGTGGATGGAATGCTGTTATTTTTTTCCAGATTTACCTGCCATTAAAATTTCAAAGGGGTGTTGTCATTTTCACACAGCCCCTTTTACATTTTCTATATATATATATATAAAGAAAGAAATAAAAATTGCTTTGTGAGCGTTGTACAGAAGAAACGGACATTTAAAATAACGGTTTTATTGTTTGAAGAATGTTTTATGACCAGTCAATAAACACAAAAGTTGTCAAATTAAATGAGTTCTTTTCCCTTTTATTTCTACAAGTTCAAAAGAAGCTATGTGTAATTTTACAAAGTCCAAAACCAACAGCTGTCCTGGTCCTTGTGGTCTCTCTCTAGGCTCTCTCTGGTCTCTCTCTGGTCTCTCTCTAGTATCTCTCTCTCTTGGTCTTTCTCTCTGGTCTCTTGTCTCTTTACCGTCGGCGGTGTGAATAAACTGAGGCTTAACGTCTGGCCATGTTACTGCTCAAAGTTTAACAACGTCAAAACAAAAGCCCATAGAAGTAAAATGGCTCCAGCTAGCTTATGTTCAAATCGGCTTTTTCTGCATTAAGGCTAACACTGGTGATGTCACACTATTCTCTGATAACACAATACAGTATTGAATGGAGCTTGTGTTTTAATTTTGTTTCCCTTTAATTTAAAAGTGAAGAACATGACAGTCTACAACAGTCTGAATTGTCTGTGGGTCTGAAGAGATCAGCTGATCAGTGAGTTTAGCTGAAATATATTCAGTGCTGATGAAAACAATCACATTTAAGCACATTTATTAACATCCATAGACTTTGGATCTGCCCTTTTATTACACCATTTGTATTTATGTGGATAAACCAACCTGTGGATTAGTATTGTTAAGCTCTAAATACTCTTTATGCTACATCAGGCCCTAACCCCCTGAACACCAGAACCCCCTGAACACCAGAACCCCCTGAACACCAGAACCCCCTGAACACCAGAACTCCCTGAACACCAGAACCCTCTGAACACCAGAACTCCCAGTCCATGGGACGGCTTTTATTTTATTTTCTAATGAAATTATCTTTTCTTTTTGACATTTGAAGAGTTCAAAAGCGTTCTGGTTTCTCTGGTCTTTCTCCGATCATTTTTGGTCTCCCCGCCCTCTCTCGGGTCTAGTCTTTTTCTGGTCTCTCTGGTCCCTCGGATCTATCTGTGCAATCTTTTTGTGACACTTTCATATTTTAAATATTTCACATTCTTGTTCTATCTATAGTGTTTCTGTGTATTTTTATTTATTATATATATATATTATATATATTACATATACAGTATATATAATATACACACACACAACTCTGCTCTAAGAAAAAAATATTTTTGACAAACTGGTGCACTCCTCACAGGTCTGACCTGGTGGACCTGTAGCTCCCTGTTTCAGTCCATGCTCTCTGCGGTGAGTCTGTTTCTGTTGAAATGATCTAAAACTCCAGACTGTAAATAATCCATATTTCTTTGATACAAAATTATTCTCGTGTTTCTTTTTCCCTTCAGCAGAGTCTGTGTTCAGGTCTTTACTGATGAGAACACATGTTTCATATCAGCGCATGAAGTCGTTTTAAAATGATCTATTGATGCTATTCAAGCAAAACATTGTTCTTGAATAGTAGCAGGATGTGTTCATACTTGGATATGAAAACCAGATCCCATCACACTTCTAAAGCTAAGCAGTGCAGAACCTGGTTAACACTGTGATGGTAGACCTCTGATATCACCAGGTGCCAAACTGCTGGTGTCCTTGGGCAAGACACTTCCCGCACTTTAAAATGAGTCTGGTTAGGTTACGAATGGTTGATGGAGGTTGCTTCTGTCGGTCTGTCCCAGGGCAGCTGTGGCTTCAGTAGTTTATCACCACTGGGAATGAAGAGAATGAATAATGACATGTGGAGCATCTTTGAGTGTCCAAAAAGTGCTTTATAAAATCAAAAGCAGAGACGTCACAAATCACCAACTTCTGACTTTTATTCCATTACAATTACAATTACAGGTTAAAACAATACAACACTACCCAAGACATGTTACGTATGACTCGAAAGTGAGCGTTTTTGATGGGATCTTTGGCCGTTTTGCGGTTGAACTGTGAAACCCAGCAGACAATGTAGCTGTAGTTGAGCACACAGAGATCTACAATGTGTGCTAGGTCCACAGCGCTCCTCTGCTCTGGGAGAACGCATCAGAAAACAAGAGAAAAAGGAGAAGGATGTTTACAATGGGCAAGCAGTCCTTTATGGTGGAAGAAGCAGCATTGCAAACATTTACAGGCAATACTTTTGTTTTTATATATTTGCTCTCTTGTTTAACCCTGGTCTCTCTCTGGTCTCGTTCTGTCGCTGGTCTCTCTCGCTGCTGCTATCTCTGGTCTCGCTCTCTGTTCTGTCGCTGGTCTCTCTCGCTGCTGCTATCTCTGGTCTCTCTCTCTCTGTTCTGTCGCTGGTCTCTCTCGCTGCTGCTATCTCTGGTCTCTCTCTCTCTGTTCTGTCTCTGGTCTCTCTCGCTGCTGCTATCTCTGGTCTCGCTCTCTGTTCTGTCGCTGGTCTCTCTCGCTGCTGCTATCTCTGGTCTCTCTCTCTCTGTTCTGTCTCTGGTCTCTCTCGCTGCTGCTATCTCTGGTCTCGCTCTCTCTGTTCTGTCGCTGGTCTCTCTCGCTGCTGCTATCTCTGGTCTCGCTCTCTCTGTTCTGTCTCTGGTCTCTCTCGCAGCCTCCATCTCTAGTCTGTCTCTTGTTACTCTGTTCTATCGCTGGTCTTTCTCGGGTCTCTCTCACTGCTGCTATCTCTGGTCTCTCTCTGTTCTGTCTCTGGTCTCTCTGTTCTGTCCATGGTCTCTCTGGTTCATCTCTCTGGTCTCTCTCGCTGCCGCTATACTGTCTCTCTCTGTTCTGTCTCTGGTCTCCCTGGTTTCTCTCTCTCTGTTTTGTCTCTGGTCTCTGTCTCTCTCTGGCCTTTCTCTCTCACACAGGCCTCTCTCTGGTCTCGCTCCTTGTTCTTGTTCTCTATCGGTCTATCAATCGTACAAACTCATCCCAAAAGACCCAATCCTGTAAAAAAAATGTTTGCAGTTTAAATTCCTCCTTCCTCGAACATGTCTTTTATAACACAAGACTTTGATGTATACAGCAGCTGAATATTAGGAACAAAACCAAAAAATTTGCCCAAATCATGCAGCCGTCTCTGGATTTCTCACACTGCGCTGCTTGCACTCTACAATTAGACCAACGGGTGGCGGTCTCTCAGCAGGGAGAAACTGACAGACATTTTCAGATCAAAAGATGAAGAGACCAAAGACCAGGCGACAGCGGCGGGTCCACGTTCACAATGTGGCCTATTAAAGTGACTGGCAGCTCCACGGAGTTCAAACATGGTATTTTTTAAGAATAGGTTTTAAACGCACGCATTGGGGGTTGTAATATCCGTGGATCGCAGCGGGGGGTGCATGCTAGCTATGAGCTGAGAGCTGATTGGCTGAATATTTCAAACCATAATTTTTTGGGCCTCTGTCACATCTTTAGATCAGTGTAAGAGGAGTCTCGCTCTGGTCTCCGTTTGCTTCTGTCTCGACTTTTCTGGTCTCTCAGGTCTCACTCTGGTCTCTCTTGTCTCTCCGGTATTTGGTCTCTGGTCCGTCTCGCTCTGGTCTCAGTTTGCTTCTGTCACGAGTTTCATGCATTTCTGACCTGTCATATCTTTAGATCAGATTTTTTTTAGACAGAAAAGGGAAACACAGAGGACCCCCCTCACTCAGCCAATCAGCTCTCAGCCCAAAGAGTCCAATAGTGACTCACAGGGCTCTTTCTTACACTAAAGATGACATGCTGTATTACACAAGTTGACAGCCAAAAAATGGTCAGGGGTTTCTCAACTGATTTAGACTAATTTTGGTGTTCTGAGTCCGAATATCACATCCATTTTGCTCTAACAGGTCAACTTTTTGAGATACAGCCATAGTGTTACGGATTATGTACGTCTACGTTATTATGAATTCTGCTTATCAAATTTGATGGAGTAAAATAAAAACTGAATGACTTTGGATACGTCGACTTTTATTTTTTGAGGAAAACGGAAAAAACGTCAAGGGTTTCTCAGCTGATGATCCGCAGAAATTTGTTTTTTATGCAAAATTGATAAAAATAAATAAATTCTGTAGCAAAAAATCCTGACCTGATTGAGCAAAACCAAGGTCCTTTTCGGACTCAGAGCATCAAAATTAGTGTTATTGATACATTATTGAAGTTGAAGGAATATTGTAATGAATACCACACTGTGCAAATCTGTCGATATTCCAGGATTTAAACAAATTGAAGTGAAAAGCTCAGTTATTTCCAGGTTGCTTTGTTCTTATGTTGCAGTGGAAGCTGGATTGGTCTTTAAATTTCCACTCGGTTAATTGCCTTCACTTCTCACCTGCCCGTTCAGATCAAAATCACGGTATAGTTTCAGTTTTAGTGGAGAGAGCACCTTCCAGCGGAGACCCAGTAGCCAGATGTAGCTGCTGTTAGCTCCACAGGATCTACACTGACTACTGAGCAACCGCTGCAGAGCCAGAGCCAAGATGGCCGCCACAGGACAACAACACCTCGCAGCAGCATCTGAAAGACACAAACAAAACCAGAAATAAGTGAAGGGAGGAGAAAATGGGGAAACTTGTGATCGTGTTTGAATGAGTGACAAAATGTCTAGAAAACAATTTCTTTGCAATCCTGTTTGTGATCGTCAAGACAAGATATCAGTGTGGCTGGAGATCTGTCTTGGTCTTTAGCCTCATCTGAAGGCAAAGTTTCTTCTTCCTTTTAGTCGATATGGCTAGTTCTATACATCCTAAAAATCTTGTCTCACTCTGGGGTCTCTCACTCCGGTCTCTCTCACGCAGTTTGCCTTTACCGTTTTCGCCGTATGTGTGAGTGGGAGGTGGGTGGAAGTGTGTTTGAATGTCGAGTTTGCGGAGGAGAGAGGAAGCAGGTGTAGAGCGAACTCAAAAGAGTTACGGCGAAACGCAATTCAGGGAGCAGAGATAAAAAAAGGACATGTCTACGGTGACTTTTCGAACCGCGTTTCCTGCTCAGAATCGTGCCAGTCTGTCTGAGTTGAGCTGGGTCCGAACTGAGTTTGTGCAATACCATAATTATCACTACAATTCAAAATACTGTGTTAAAAAAGACAGCATGAGCCTCATTCCCACTGAGCAAAAACACAGGAATTTTGCCTAAAAACTGTAGTTCACGTAATCCTTTCATACTCTCTCTGGTCGCTCTCTCTCTCTCTCTCTCTGGTCGCTCTCGGGACGCTCCCATCTATCACAGGTCTCTCTCTGGTATTTCCCTGGTCCCCCTTTCTGGTCTCTCTCTTTCTCTCTGGTCGATCTCTCTCGTGTCTTTTTCATCTCTCTCTGGTTGCTCTCTCTCTGTCTCTGGTCGCTCTCTCTCTCTCTGGTCTCTTCCATCTCTCTCTCTCTGGACTCTCCCATGTATCACAGGTTTCTCTCGCTGGTCTTGCCCTGCTCACTCTCGCCTGCCTCCCTCTATTGTTCTTCATTCCCTCTGAGCAAAAACACAGGAATTTTGCCTAAAAACTAGTTCACGTCATCTTTTCATACTCTTTCTGGTCGCTCTCTCTCTCTCTCTGGTCTCTTCCATCTCTCTCTGGTCGCTCTCTCTCTCTCTCTCTCTGGTCGCTATCTGGACGCTCCCATCTATCACAGGTCTTTCTCTGGTATTTCCCTGGTCCCCCCCTCTCTGGTCTCTCTCTTTCTCTCTGGTGTCTTTTCCATCTCTCTCTGGTCGCTCTCTCTGGTCGCTCTCTCCCTCTGGTCTCTCTCTTTCTCTCTGGTCGCTCTCTCTCTCTCGTGTCTTTTCCATCTCTCTCTGGTCGCTCTCTCTGGTCGCTCTCTCTGGTCGCTCTCTCCCTCTCTCTGGCCGCTCTCTTTCTCTGTCTCTGGTCGCTCTCTCTCTGGACTCTACCATCTATCACAGGTCTCTCTCGCTGGTCTTGCCCTGCTCTCTCTCTCCTGTCTCTCTCTATCGTTCTTCATTCCATCAATTTCTATATGTTTTGACGCTGTTCAATTGGCTTGGCTCCTGGTTTGAGGTATGTGATTTCACCCCCACCAAACTCACAATGTCTGCTGTGTCTTTGCCCAAAAAAACCGTGATAATTACTTCCAAATCGATGACTTCCTAGTACATCCTTTTTCCCCCGACTTTGGGCCGACAGGCTCTGAGCTAATTTAAACGGATTGCTTCCCTTCTCCAGCTAAGTAGTAAACAAAGCGGTGGAACAGTGGACAAATGCGACCAGGCTGACCCCGGCTAAATCCCGCCCACTTTCATTCATGCATTCCTGCCCCTGCGCTCTGATTGGCTGAGGGAATCGACCAATGGGAAGAACAGCTGGGAGCCATTCATAAAAGCAGAGGGTCATTGGGGATGTTAGAGACACGTGAAGGGGGAGATGGGAGCGATTTTCTGACAAACGAAACAGAACGTGATTATTACTTTACTGATTTAAAGCTGCGGTACCTAACTTTTTCGCTTCATTAATAATATGTGAGACAGAAGCCAGAAATACATGAAAGCTAGTGACAGAAATGTTTTAGAGCGCCAGGGACGAGAAACCTGGATTTTAGTACACATTGCTGCATCATGCACTTTCTGTCCTGATGGAAGTGTAGAAAGTGGAGCATTAAACCAGGACTTGCATCAGGTCTGAACCAGTTCTAAACCAGGAATAGTACCTGGACTAGAACCTGATCTAAAAGGTATGACAGAGGCCAGAAATACATGCAACTAGTAAAAGAAGTGACTGTTTCAGAGCCTGCAGGAACCAGAGATATGGGCTTTATTACATGGTTACATTGATGTGCTTTTAAAGTCACATACCCCAGCTTTAATATTATGCTCTTTTTATACTTACTACGACATTGTTCCTTATCACACAATGACCTGGAGTTGTTTTTAGTTTGATCCACACTGATGCCAGTAGCAACTTCTGGCCCCTACTTTCCAAATCCTCGGTTTTAACTATGAGGAACTATGAGGCTATAGAAGTATGTTTGTGTTTTTAAACAAAAAAATAAATCTGGGAAGCATGTTTACGTATTCCATATTTCCATAAGCAGAGATGATTTAAACATTATAAAATTGACTTAAAAATGGTAGAAAAACACTAAAAAGTGCATTAGAACTAGCAACGCATAGAGACAACAATGGTAATATTGAATGGGGATTCTGGACCTGTTCACATTTTTAGTCAATCAAAATATTAATCTTATCTAATCAAAATGTGATAACAAAAAATTACGGGGAAAAAATCTGGTATAAATCATTTCCCAATAAAAATCTAACAACATTTTCTGTATACATTTTTGTCTCTTTCTTGCAGTTTCAGCCTGTTATAGATTTGGGAAATTTTGAGAACTGAGTGACGCACACAATTGCACCATTTGAAAGAAATCCTCTCTGAGCGACGGCTGTGACCGACTGACGCGGAAAAGAGGTGCTGCTAACGATCTCCTTGGAAACGGGGAGTAATTAGAGCAAAGTGCTGGAAACGAGGGGGAAAAAAACGCAAGTGTGGGCGGATCCTGGACGCTACTCAAGACATTAGCCACCAAGACGAGTCCCGAGCCTCAATGGAGGAGACCGGATCAAAAGTCCTAAAATAAATCTGCATTTTGTGGTCAATAATCAATTTTTTAAAATGATTATCATATGGGTAAACAGATTGGCATGTGTTTCTTGTGTGTGCTTAGTGCGCAAATGTGCACCATGTGCACTTGTATATTGTAAATAGTAACTGTAACTCTATTTTAAATTTAAATTTATTCTTTAGAAGTGTTTTTTATTCTTATTTTTATTATCTCTTTTTGACTGTTGCACTGAGCCAAAGCAATTTCCTAGTCTGTGACCATTTTTATTAAGTGGCAATAAAAATGATTCTGATTCTGATTCTGAAATGAATATTTAGAATTTTGCCTTGTATCTATTTATCTCTTATAAACCGTTTGCAGCATGAGCCAAAGCAAATTCAGAGTTTGTGACCTCCTGATACTTAAAAAGGCAACACAAATAATTCGGATTCTGGCGACAGTGGCTCAGTTGGTAGAGCATTGGCGGGAGTAATGTCCGCTGCATGCCTGATGTGTATATGTGTATTTGTATTCTTAAAAACTAAAATCTCCCCACTGTGGGACAAATAAAGGACCTTCTTCTAACTTTGTCTGCTCTGTTGTAAACTTTAATCTTTTTCCTGCTTTCAATCTCAGTCTGGAACCCTCTGATTCATGGTTTGATTTAGTTCACAGGACTCTTTTTGCGCGGACAAACTACATGTGATCTAAAATGGCCAACCCTCTATCTTATGGCTCCTATCTCATTCTTATATAATTATAAGCAATATTTTAGTATTTTCCCCAATTACGTATTTTTGTGAATATTTTTGTGGAGTTCCATTCATACATTTGCCCTTTTGCTAAATCTGCAACGATTTCCTCATCCTGTATTATCATATTTAATTCATTCCTTTGTGTCTTTGTCGGTCTGTTGTAGCTGCGGCTGATAATTAGCTGTGTGGAATCCCATTTGTTCAAACGCAGACTTTTGGAGTAAATCTCTTCAGCTGTTCGTCCCATCTGCGACATAACTCCACATTTATACGCCAAGTTGTATTGTATTATTCACCGGTGGTCATAGAAGAAAAAAAAAAAAAATCGGAATATTTGGCTGCGTTTAGAGCATTTGTAATAGAAAAAAAATAATTGGTTTCCTTTATATGTGCAATAAGCTAAACATTTTATTCAATGGACTCTAAACTCACTTGAATTCAAACTATGTGCATATCCTCGTAACCAAAAAATTAAGTTTTGACTTTCCAGGTAAAAAGCAAATGATGAATAGCTTAGAAAAATCAAAAAAATCCAAGGCACTCGTGGTCAGTGGTTTAGACATTTTTTAAAAAGCCTTTATTTACTCATGGCTGTGGATTAAAACACGCACCAACGCGTTTCAGCCCAGCTTGGCCTTCTTCAGGGTGCAAATGGTGGCACCAGTGATCATGTGATGTATATAGGCAGGGGCTTCATTAGGCCCTCCTCTAAACATGCACTGGTGTATTTACATCATATATATACAATGCACACAGAAAAAAGTGAAAAGAACACATATTTACAATTATATTATTTATATATATATACAATTATAATATATACATGCGCTGGAAGTGGAGAGGTAATATCTGTAAAACAGGAAATAGAGCAGATAACCAAGAGGGCACAGGCTTCCTACTGTTCCACTAATAAAAAAATCATCTCATAAATCACATTACACGTACACATTCAAAGGAATGGTGAAAAGTCAATTTCGTCATTGAGTCCAGGAAAGGATGTGGCGTTCAGATTGACAATCCAAAAAGGGTGAGTCTATCTCCGCCTCCAGGTGATTTTGGGATGGAGTCAATTACCATCGCTTTTAGCTCGTTGATGTTTGTGTGTCTGTTTGTGTGTCCGGCCGTGTGAAAGTGGACATTGGGTACTGAGGATCATTCTTTTTTATTGCCATATCCTCCATATCCTCCTTATTTGATATTATTATTATTA